CATGGATCCTGATCAGACTGCACGGATGCGCAGGCTGGTCGGGATCCATGCTGGTCGCAAACGCATTATGTTGGTTTTGTACTGACACGGCTCATTTAACTTAATTGTAATGTAGTGATATTTTCACTGCATTTACATCAATGATTAAAGTGAGAAAAGAACTAATATTTACACAAATACATATATACCTATAATACAAAAAACATTAAAATTACAACAATGTTTGTTTTCACCCGTAAAAATAATCTTAACCCCTGACAACCTTTGCAAAAAGCCAATCATATTCACCCCCGTAAAAACAGATATTATTTTGTTTTTTTTTTTTAACAAAAAAGTGCTCCAAACTTCCCAAAAATTATAATTAATTAAATTAACCGTAGATTTTTTAATAGAAAGTTCCCTTGAATGAGTGCCCAGTTTTTAATTTCTAAAAGTGAAAAAGTTGAATAAAACATATTAAAATTTCAAGCCTCTGGCAAGCATTATATTATTTGATTGAATGAGTTCCATAAATTCAGTATTCAACTTGAATTTAACATTCTATTTATCACATATCCAAAATAAGAATGGTTTACAATTTTAAAACAAGAGGGCCATGATGGCCCTGAGGTCGCTCACCTGTATATAGGCCCCCCAACGTTGCAGGGCCAATTTAACCCAAGGGCTTTTATTTGCACAAACTCGGTAGACACCCATAAGAAGATGTTTCATGCTAAACATCTAAGCTCTAGCTCATTGGGCTTTTTGAAAGAAGATTTTTTTAAAGTTTTTACTATACACATGTAGTTAAAAACAATGACACCCCTGGGGCCGGGCCAGTTTTGACCCCAGGGCTTTTATTTGAACAAACTTTGTAGACACTTACTAGAAGATGTTTCATGCTTAATATCTAAACTCTAGCTATTTGGGTTTTTTCAAAGAAGATTTTTAAGCTTTTGCTATACACATATAAAGAAAATAAATGACCCCTGGGGCGGGGCCAATTTTGACCCCAGGTCTTTTATTTGAACAAACTTTGTAGACTGTGACTTCATTAAAGATGTTTCATGCTTAATATCTTAACTCTAGCTATTTGGGTTTTTTCAAAGAAGATTTTTTAAGTTTTTACTATACACATATAAGGAAAATCAATGACCCCCAGGGCGGTGCCAATTTTGACCCCAGGGCTTTTATTTGAACAAACTTGGTAGACACCTATTAGAACATGTTTGATGCTAAATATCTTAGCCATAGCTCTTTGAGTTCTTTAAAAGAAGATTTTTTAAGTTTTTAATATATGCATATAGGGAAAATCAATGATCCCCCGGGGCGGGGCCAATTTTGACCCAAGGGCTTTTATTTGAACAAACTTGGTAGACACTTATTAAAACATGTTTCATGCTAAATATCTTAGCTCTAACTCTTTTGGTTCTTTAAAAGAAGATTTTTTAAGTTTTTACTATATGCATATAGGGAAAATCAATGACCCCCTGGGGTGGGGCCAATTTTGACCCCAGTGCTTTTATTTGAACAAACTTGGTAGACACCTATTAGAACATGTTTGATGCTCAATATTCTTAGCCATAGCTCTTTGAGTTCTTTAAAAAGAAGATTTTTTTAAGTTTTTACTATATGCATATAGGGAAAACCAATGACCCCCGGGGCGGGGCTAATTTTGACCCCAGGGCTTTTATTTGAACAAACTTGGTAGACACCCATTAGAACATGTTTCATGCTAAATATCTTAGCTCTAGCTCTTTTGGTTCTTTAAAAGAAGATTTTCTTAAGTTTTTACTATATGCATATAGGAAAAATCAATGACCCCGGGGCGGGGCCAATTTTGACCACAGGGCTTTTATTTGAACAAACTTGGTAGACACTTATTAGAACATGTTTCATGCTAAAAATCTTAGCTCTAGCTCTTTTGGTTCTTTAAAAGAAGATTTTTAAGTTTTTACTATATGCATATTGGGAAAATCAATGACCCCCTGGGGCAGGGCCAATTTTGACCCCAGGGCTTTCATTTGAAGAAACTTGGTAGACACCCATTAGAATATGTTTCATGCTAAATATCTTAGCTCTAGCTCTTTTGGTTCTTTAAAAGAAGATTTTTTAAGTTTTTAATATGTATATAGGGAAAATCAATGACCCCCCTGGGGCGGGGCCAATTTTGACCCCAGGGCTTTTATTTGAACAAACTTGGTAGACACTCACTAGAAGATGTTTCATGCCAAATATCTAAGCTCTAGCTCTTATGGTTTTTTAAAAGAAGATTTTTTAAGTTTTTACTATATGTATATAGGGAAAATCAATGACCCCCGGGGCGGGGCCAATTTTGACCCAAGGGCTTTTATTTGAACAAACTTGGTAGACACTTATTAAAACATGTTTCATGCTAAATATCTTAGCTTTAACTCTTTTGGTTCTTTAAAAGAAGATTTTTTAAGTTTTTACTATATGCATATAGGGAAAATCAATGACCCCCTGGGGCGGGGCCAATTTTGACCCCAGGGCTTTTATTTAAACAAACTTGGTAGACACCTATTAGAACATGTTTGATGCTAAATATCTTAGCCATAGCTCTTTGAGTTCTTTGAAAGTAGATTTTTTAAGTTTTTACTATATGCATATAGGGAAAATCAATGACCCCCCGGGGCGGGGCCAATTTTGACCCCAGGGCTTTTATTTGAACAAACTTGGTAGACACCCATTAGAACATGTTTCATGCTAAATATCTTAACCTAGCTCTTTTGGTTCTTTAAAAGAAGATTTTTTAAGTTTTTACTATATGCATATAGGGAAAATCAATGACCCCCTGGGGTGGGGCCAATTTTGACCCCAGTGCTTTTTATTTGAACAAACTTGGTAGACACCTATTAGAACATGTTTCATGCTAAATATCTTAGCTCATAGCTCTTTTGGTTCTTTAAAAGAAGATTTTTTAAGTTTTTACTATATGCATATAGGGAAATCAATGACCCCCCTGGGGCGGGGCCAATTTTGACCCCAGGGTTTTTATTTGAACAAACTTGGTAGACACTCATTAGAAGATGTTTCATGCTAAATATCTTAGCTTTAACTCTTTTGGTTCTTTAAAAGAAGATTTTTTTAAGTTTTTACTATATGCATATAGGGAAAATCAATGACCCCCTGGGGCGGGGCCAATTTTGACCCCAGGGCTTTTATTTGAACAAACTTGGTAGACACCTATTAGAACATGTTTGATGCTAAATATCTTAGCCATAGCTCTTTGAGTTCTTTAAAAGAAGATTTTTTAAGTTTTTACTATATGCATATAGGGAAAATCAATGACCCCCTGGGCGGGGCCAATTTTGACCCCAGGGCTTTTATTTGAACAAACTTGGTAGACACTCACTAGAACATGTTTCATGCCAAATATCTAAGCTCTAGCTCTTATGGTTTTTTAAAAGAAGATTTTTTAAGTTTTTACTATATGTATATAGGGAAAATCAATGACCCCCCGGGGCGGGGCCAATTTTGACCCAAGGGCTTTTATTTGAACAAACTTGGTAGACACTCACTAGAAGATGTTTCATGCCAAATATCTAAGCTCTAGCTCTTATGGTTTTTTAAAAGAAGATTTTTTAAGTTTTTACTATATGTATATAGGGAAAATCAATGACCCCCCGGGGCGGGGCCAATTTTGACCCAAGGGCTTTTATTTGAACAAACTTGGTAGACACTTATTAGAACATGTTTCATGCTAAATATCTTAGCTTTAACTCTTTTGGTTCTTTAAAAGAAGATTTTTTAAGTTTTTACTATATGCATATAGGGAAAATCAATGACCCCCCTGGGGCGGGGCCAATTTTGACCCCAGGGCTTTTATTTGAACAAACTTGGTAGACACCCATTAGAACATGTTTCATGCTAAATATCTTAGCTCTAGCTCTTTTGGTTCTTTAAAAGAAGATTTTTTAAGTTTTTACTATATGTATATAGGGAAAATCAATGACCCCCCGGGGCGGGGCCAATTTTGACCCCAGGGCTTTTATTTGAACAAACTTGGTAGACACTCACTAGAAGATGTTTCATGCCAAATATCTAAGCTCTAGCTCTTATGGTTTTTTAAAAGAAGATATTTAAAGTTTTTTCTTTCGGTTGCCATGGCAACCAGAGTTCTGCATGGAATTAAATTCTTTGAACAATTTTTAAAGGTGACCACCAAAGGAACATTCCTGTGAAGTTTGGATGAAATTGGCTTAGTGGTTTATGAGGAGATGTCATTTAAAGTAAAAGTTTACGGACGGACGGACGGACGGACGGACGGACGACGGACGGACGCCGGACGAGAAGTGATCACAAAAGCTCACCCTGTCACTTTGTGACAGGTGAGCTAAAAAGTCATTTTTTATTGATGCCCCTTTACTGTTAATCTAAAGAACTGATATGTGAGCGTTAATGTTGACTATTTCATAATATGATCAATATAGGAAATATGAACAGATCAATGCTATGGACTAGATGTCAAATTTGTGGAGAAACCCTTTCTCTTCATTATCTACTACAATTTTTCATCATTCATACAATTGCTTAACCAAAACCTAGCTGGTTTTTGTTAACGGGACTTGTCCTGCTTTTGGATTTGGACTGGTTAATTGTTATTTACAGAGAAATGAGCCTAAAAAACTTCAAAATCAGACAGCAAAGAATTAAGTAGGACTACATGTATGTGCAGGTTGTCCAGTTTCAACACAGTAGCCATTCACCTTTTGGTATTACCACTGGCACTCAATGGGTAAAATAAACCTACCAAAAATATGCACAGTTTTGCAACGTTTTACAATAAAACATATATATCCCTGCTGGAACACATTTTGTCAGACTAGCACCATTCCTTATGCAAACATGCATGCTTGCTACTTTTGCGAGTCTCATTTTGTCAGCTTTGACTATGAATTGCCATAAATTTAAATAAAATGTATCATGAACATAAAACAATATTGTTCAAAACTTTTTTTTGGTTCTTGAAATCAGGATCTAATTTCCCTTATATTTGATTTCAATTAACACCATTGGCTAAATGTTGTTTCTGAATGCCAAACAGTACTGCAACAAAACTATTAACATGTCTTCTTAACGAAGTCCCCCTCCAAGTACGGTCACCACTCCAGACTGTAATGGATTTCCACATGACTAGATGTCTGCTATTCAAGGAATACCGAAACACATCCGTACACCATCATCTCTCCGGCGACGCCCACCTCCCCCACCAAATCCCCCGCCTCCTCCACGACCAAAACGCCCTCTGCCTCCTCCCTCAGCCTCCCTCTTTTCTTTGTGAGAAGCAAATCTTGCAGCCATTTCTTCAAGCTCTTCTGGTACTTCCTAAAATACAACAATCAAAACCATATGAACAAACTCAGTACATTCTTTTTTGGCTATATCAAAATACAATATTTTTGGGTTTCATTTAAATTCAATGCTTTCAGTTTTTCAGATTACCAATTAACTGTTAAGATCACTTGGAAACTATCAAGCTTTACTGAACAAGCAAGAATTCATATGCCCCTCCATTCATTAATGCATTACTTTAGGCACGAGCATACACAATGGTAGAACTTCAATTTTCTGTAAGCTAAGGATGGTTTCCTCATATGTAATTAACATCTGATATATTATTATACCAAAATCTGGGAGACATCATTGGTAGCAACAGATTTATTAATCATTGACCTAAACAATTTAATTTCCTTGACATGGCACTCTTTGATTGGACGAAAATCAGTGCCACATATTTGATACAGGATTGATAAGTTGCAGGCCGTCAAGTACAACCCAATCATATTCAGTCAGGTTGTTTTTTTAACAGGTAAAAAAGTGGCCCTACCTTCAAATTGGGGGGGGGGGGGGGGGGAAATCACATGTTATATTTGCACAAGGGAGAGAAAACGCTGGTGTGAATTGAATTTTAGGTGGAAACTGCATAATTTTAAAAGAAAATTTCCATTGGGAAAGGCAGCCCTTCTACAGCTTCAGCTATGGAAAAAAGCCATGTCAGCAGATATTTTTGTACGCTTCTAAATGTTCTCTATAAACAGTAATTATATTAATTTCACCTTTCATTTAAAACAGCATATGCCTACAGCAAACAAGTTATACCCAGACTTAAGTTATTCCAAACAATGTGTTGACAAAAAAAACAACTTCTTAAAAACATTATTATGAAAGGCTGTATTACTGTATAGCGCATTATATCTGCGGTGTCAAATGTTGGCGTTTTTTAAAGTGTTTTGAATTGGCGGGGTCATAAATTGGCGCAAACGCTTTTAGACCGCCAAATTAAAACACTTGTTGGCATAAATATGGGGTCATGAATTGGCGATTACAAATAAAGAATAAAAAAATAAATAAAAATAACACCGGTCACGCAGTAGTTGACTGTCCTCGTTTATTTTACGGCATACGGTATACCTATGCTTGGTCACCTTTATCTTTACATCGTGCTAATTCTGAACGATTTTAATAAAAACATGAACTATTTTTGTTATTATTTGTATCGTGATTAGAGAGATGTTTCTCAAATGAATAGGAATAACATTAGCACGAGCAATTTGTTGAGCTGATATCACAAATATTTTGCTATTTATAGGTATATATAGGCGCCGCTAAACCATGTATCATTTATTTAGCTGTATTTTTTCAACTTGTAAGTTAGGCCACAAGCAAGAAGTTAAATATAACATAAAATCATAGTTAATACTAGTAATGGATAAATGGTTGAAACGGGGTAAATTGAACATCAAACAACCGCCGAGCGTTTTACTGCCAGATCCGACGCAAATCGAAGATACGGACAAAGCTTGTTCATTGAGTGCCGCAAATGATGCTGTTGCAGATTTGACGAGCGAATGTGAGCTACGTACCACACCAAGTCGAAAACGTAATAGATCTGGCCAATATAACTCGTATTCGCCTGAAGTTAGGTTACGAATTGCAAAAACATGCCTAGAAATTGGACCTGCAAAAACCGCAAGGCAGTTTACAAACGAACTCGGATTTTGTGTAAATGAGAGTACAGTTCGAAATATGAAAACTAGCCACAAAGCCCGACATCATTGCCGAGTCTTTCTCTAAGGCAGGACTATAAATTTCGTTAAGTAATTAAATGTACAAAGTGTAACATGATTCCATATCTGATTTTTATATGACATTTAGATTTGTTTCTCGTCGTGTGATCATCTTCATAATAAATACAGTATATAGATAGAGTTTCGTACCAAGACTTAAAAATAAACAAATTCTTTTCAGCTTACTTGTAATGTTTATTTTTATTACAAATAATCAAGGGAGATTACTTGGACAAACCAAAGCTATTTTATCATGAGTTGTCTACCTTTCAAAGAATAATGGCGATGATCTAAAATGGCGGTGCTTTAAATTTGCGGTGTTTTGAATTGGCGCTACTGACCCTGAACCGCCAATATAGCCAAATATAAACCCCCACCAAAATAAGTACTTATACAGTATTCACCTGGTTAGCTTCCACAAGAATTTTTATGAGATCTCCAACTTTACCCCAGTCACTCCTAGTCACAAGAGTTACTGATGTACCAGTCTTCCTAAAATAAGGAAAAAAAGACATTTATCACTCTAATATTCAAAGTGGTTTTTTAAAGGCACACAATGCCTGAGGAACAAATAAATTTTTACTTCTTTAAAACTGATAAACACAAGTTTTTATGCATTTAAATAATGGTTTTAGAGCATGTTCGATGCTTATCACCTGAAAATAGTGCAGAATGTGAAATTGTGTGTAGCAAAATTTTAACAGAGTAGTATTTTGACTTCCATAAATAGATTAAATCACTATAAGTGCACTTATTGCCAAAAAGCAATCAGTACCTTTTTGGAAACTACAATATGATTTTAATAATAAATGAGCCGCGCCAGGACAAAACCAACATAATGCGTTTGTGACCAGCATGGATCCAGACCAGCCGATCAGGATCCATGCTGTTCACTTGCAAACCCTATTACAAGTAGGGAAACTGATAGCAAACAGCATGGATCCTGATCAGACTGCGCAGATGTGCAGGCTGGTCGGGATCCTTGCTGGTCACAAACCCATTATGTTGGTTTTGTCGTGACGCAGCTCAAATTATTATAAAATAAAATTAAAGTTTTTTTGAGGCATACTGGGTCTTTAAGGTAACTTGAAATGTATTATTCCAGGCATAACATTTTCTTTTGCAACAGCTTACATCAATTAGACTGGAACAATTTAGCATGGTAAAAGGAATGACTTTAAATCAAAGTAATTGGACAGACAAAAATGTACAGGATTTGTAGTAGAATTCCTACCCTGCTCTCCCAGTTCGCCCAACTCTATGTACATACTCTTCGATGTTCCTTGGCATATCAAAGTTGAACACATATCTGTAATATTGAGATCAAACATTACTTAATAAATTTCAGACATGTGACCACATAAAGGTCAAAATAATCATGCAATCATGCAAAAAAATAATTCAGTTACTTTAAAGTTTTTATTAAGTTTATTATTACACTTTAACTAAATATGTGCAAATGTTTATGCTTGCATTATGTATGTACGAAGTTTCTGACGATGAAATGCATTTCTGCTAAATCAAATATAATTCACTGATTGTCTCATGTTTCAGCAACCTTCTACAAAACATGTAATAAATAAATAAAGACATTAAAATTGTTTTGAAGTTAAAAAATATTTAATCAATATTCATGTCTTCTATCAACTATTAAAATATTTTTTTCGTACGTGATATCTTTAACATCAAGACCACGTGAGGCTACATCTGTGGCTACAAGTATCCGGACATCTCCAGATTTGAAATCTTCTAAAGCTTGTTCACGATCACATTGTTCCCTGAAAAATAACCAACATAATGTGTGTGATTTTTTTTTTCAACAATCATGAATTTAAAACTAGAACTATCACTAAATGTGATTAATACCCCAACAAGACTGCTTCGGAAATGAGAATGTTACTAGTAACAGAATACCTTGTAAAAGAATTGAAATATAGAGTTATGGTTGTGGGCAATTAAAGATAGTTGTGGTTCTTATATGTTGCATTTCCTTTCAATGTGGTTGGCCATTGATGAAGTTTAATTGAATTACTCTGTAATAAGTCCAGAAAGACAAAGAAAAGGAACAAAGGGCAATAACTCTATAAATACTGAAGATAGAGTTATAGTTCTTGTGCACTGCACTTCCTCTTATTGTGCTTGACCATTGTATGAAGTTGTTTTGAATTCCAACCAGTACGTTTTAAGTTATGCTCCTGACAAGGAAAAGTATCAAAGGGCAGTAACTCTGTATTTTGTCAAAATGGTGTTATGGCTCTTGTGCACTGCACTTCCTTTTAATGTCCTTGACAACTGTATGAAGTTGTATTGAATTCCAAACAGTAGTTTCCAAGTTATGCTCTGGACAAGGAAAAGTAACAAAGGGCAATAACTCTGTAATTAGTCAAGATGGAGTTATGGTTCTTGTGCACTGCACTTTCTCTCAATGTGCTTGACCATTGTATGAAGTTATATTGAATTCCAACCATTAGTCTTCAAGTTATGGTCCGGACAAAAAAGGCAATGGAAAAGTAACAAAGGGCAATAACTCTGTAATTACTTTAGATAGAGTTATGGTTCTTGTGCAATGCACTTCCCCTTATTGTGTTTGACAATTGTATGAAATTGTTTTGAATTCCAACCAGTAGTTTTCAAGTTATTCCTCGGACAAGGAAAAGTAACAAAGGGCAATAACTCTGTAATTAGTCAAGATACAGTTATGGTTCTTATGCACTGCACTTCCTCTCAATGTGCTTGACCATTGTATGTAGTTATATTAAATTCCAACCATTAGTCTTCAAGTTATGGTCCGGACAAAAAAATCAATGGAAAAGTAACAAAGGGCAATAACTCTGTAATTACTTTAGATAGAGTTATGGTTCTTGTGCACTGCACTTCCCCTTATTGTGTTTGACAATTGTATGAAGTTGTTTTGAATTCCAACCAGTAGTTTTCAAGTTATGCCCCGGACAAGGAAAAGTAACAAAGGGCAATAACTCTGTAATTAGCCAAGACCATTGTATGTAGTTATATTGAATTCCAACCATAAGTCTTCAAGTTATGCTCCGGACAAGGAAAATGCAACGGACGTCTGGACAGACCGACCGCCCGACCGACCAACTGACCAGGCACATATCAACCACAACCTTAATATCATCAGCATTTTACCACAACCTTAATATCATCAGCATTTTACCACAAGCTTTATATCATCAGCATTTTACCACAATCTTTATATCATCAGCATTACCAAAACCTTAATATCATCACATATTAACCAAAAAACTTTATTCATCAGTATTTTACCACATTCTTTATATCATCAGCATTTTACCACAACCTTAATATCATCACATATTAACCACAAACATTAATCATCAGCATTTTACCACAATCTTTATATCATCAGCATTTTACCACAACCTTAATATCATCACATATTAACCACAAGCTTTATATCATCAGCATTTTACCACAATCTTTATATCATCAGCATTTTACCACAACCTTAATATCATCACATATCAACCACAAACTTTAATAATCAGCATTTTACCACAATCTTTATATCATCAGCATTTTACCACAACCTTAATATCATCACATATCAACCACAAACTTTAATAATCAGTATTTTACCACAATCTTTATATCATCAGCATTTTACCACAACCTTAATATCATCACATATTAACCACAAACTTTTATCATCAGTATTTTACCACAATCTTTATATCATCAGTATTTTACTACAACCTATATATCATTGCTTTGGTAAGAATCTTAAATTTGTACCTCAATTATAAAAGAAGATTGTGTACAAGATATGTTGATGCTTTCTTTCAATCAAGGATTCAACAAAAATATCTTTGTTTCACCTTTTTCCACCCATGCCAGTTTATTTAAGGCAAGTAGGTAGGTAAGATTATTTTATCCAAACTATATGTTTTTTATTGATCATTGTTATTTATAAAAACTGAATTATATGGATTGAGAATGCTTAGCATCTGTATAAAGGTTGCGGTTTTTTGTGTGAAGGTAGTGACTGTTAAACAAACAATATTTCATTTATTTAAGGCCTAGATTTAAACAAATGAAAATTAATATTTTATAATTTTTAATTTCTACTATTTATAAGGTTGTACTACAACCTTAATATCATCAGCATTTTACCACAACCTTAATATCATCAGCATTTTACCACAAACTTTTATCATCAGTATTTTACCACAATCTTTTATCATCACATATTAACCACAAACTTTTATCATCAGTATTTTACCACAACCTTAATATCATCAGCATTTTACCACAACCTTTATATCATCAGCATTTTACCACAAGCTTTATATCACAAGCATTTTACCACAATCTTTATATCATCAGCATTTTACCACAATCTTTATATCATCAGCATTTTACCACAACCTTAATATCATCACATATTAACCACAAACTTTTATCATCAGTATTTTACCACAATCTTTATATCATCAGTATTTTACTACAACCTATATATCATTGCTTTGGTAAGAATCTTAAATTTGTACCTCAATTATAAAAGAAGATTGTGTATAAGATATGTTGATGCTTTCTTGCTAACAAGGATTCAACAAAAATATCTTTGTTTCACCTTTTTCCACCCATGCCAGTTTATGTAAGGCAGGTAGGTAGGTTAGATTATTTTATCCAAACTATTTTTTTTTATTGATCATTGTTATTTATAACTAGAACTCCGCGAGTCGGATGTGTCGCCTTGTGAACAATGTAGTTTAGAAGAAATGGCCAGGACAAAAATGAAATATGAAAAATAACAAAGGGCAATAACTCAAAAAATAATAAGTGCAGAGCAGCCGTTTCTGTGCACTGCACTTCTTATCAATAAGATCTATAATTCTATGATGTTTCAAGTCCATTGCTTTCATATTTGAGGAGAAATGACCAGGACAAAAATAAAGTAAGAAAATCAACAAAGGGCAATTACTCAAAAAATAAGAAATGCAGAGTTCTTATGCACTGCACTTTATCTTAATGAGATCTATCATCCTATGAAGTTTCAAGTCCATAACCTTTGTACTTTCGGAGAAATGGCCTGGACAAAAATTAAGTATGAAAATTAACAAAGGGCCATAACTCAAAAATTAAGAAATGCAGAGTACCGATTCTTGTGCACTGCACTTCTTCTTAATGAAATCTATCATCCTATGAAGTTTCAAGTCCATAGCTTTTATACTTAAGGAGAAATGGCCCGGACAAAATTAAAGTATGAAAATAAACAAAGGGCAATAACTCAAAAAATAAGAAATGCAGAGTACCGGTCCTTGTGCACTGCACTTCTTCTTAATGAGACCTATCATCCTATGAAGTTTCAAGTCCATGGCTTTTATACATTAGGAGAAATGGCCCGGACAAAAATAAAGTATGAAAATTAACAAAGGGCAATAACTCAAAAATTAGGAAGTGCACAGTACTGGTTCTTCTGCACAGCACTTCTTCTTAATGACATCTCTCATCCTATGAAGTTTCAAGTCCATAGCTTTTTTAGTTGAGGAGAAATGGCCCGGACAAAATTAAAGTATGAGAATTAACAAAGGGCAATAACTCAAAAAATAAGAACTGCAGAGTACCGGTCCTTGTGCACTGCACTTCGGGTTATTGAAAGAAGCATGCATACCAAGTTTGAAGTCAATCAGACTTATAGTGACTGAGTTATGCTCCGGAAAAGCTTTAGGGGACGCCGACAACGCCGCCGACAACAACACAGACGCCGCCGACAAAAGTAACCCCTATATGTCACCTTTTCAAGGCGTACACAAAAACTGAATTATATGGATTGAGAATGCTTAGCATCTGTATAAAAGTTTGCGTTTTTTTTTGGGTGAAGGTAGTGACTGGCAAACAAACAATATTTTATTTATCTAAGGCCTAGATTTAAACAAATGAAAATTAATATTCTTAAATTTTTAATTTCTACTATTTATAAGGTTAAATAAATAAGAGTTACCAGGACATATAAAGAGTTACTAAGGACATATAACTATAGTAAGTAAGAATATATAAAACAAACCTGTCGCCATGGATACACTGGCATGAAATGTCACGTAAAGTAAAATCGCTAGATAGGTCATCAGCCCTGAAATGATAAGGCAGGAAATAAATTTCTGCTACATACTATAAAAAAAAAAAAAAAAAAAAAAAAAAAAAATCTCCTGTCAAAAATGCAATATGCAATATGTTGGCCAGACATCTCAACCGGTTTCACGTAGAATGAATAGTCATAAATTTGATATTACAAATTTCAAAGATCCAGCGTTTTCAACTCTTGTTGCGACGCATTTTAATTCAATTGATCATTCATTTAATGACTTTTCATTTTTACCGTTTGAGATTGTCAGCGACACAATGGAGCGTCTATGTTGAGAAACCTACTGGATTCATAAGCTTAAGACGTTTTCACCAGCTGGATTAAATGCAAAAATTATATACGACATTTAATTATTTCCGTAAGTTCTTTTGCGTAGACATTCCATTATAAATGGTTATATACTTTTTCCAATATAATATTTCATCTGTTTTATGCATGTATACACGTTACGTAACATTCACGTTGTTTCCTATTATTGTTTTTTATGTATTTTATATAGGAAATACTTGTATTTCATAATCCGTGAATGTTTATATACATATATATCGAAATCTTTATTAACTTTATTAATTTTTAATGAAATTTAATATAACGTAACGTAACAATGTATGTTTCCCGCCATCTCGGACGGTGACGTCATGTGACGTCTCTTCCTGTTTATTCACTTCCTGTTTATTCACTGACGAAGAACATATTTGTTCGAAATCGATTTGAATATTAAAAAAATAACTGAATGTACGCGTGTGGTTGTTCTTTTTGGATTCATATTCATGCTACATACTATCAAATAGTCCATGTTAAAAGCTTTCTAACTTTCCTACTCAATCCATAACATATATTTCATATACTGAAGTGACCTTGACAAATATTCTATAGTTCCTATAAAGACTGATTTACAGACCACAACCCTAATTGAGGTTTAAAGCTTTCTTTAAACTAATCTGCATAACAAATGCATAGTTAGTCGTAACATTACTTGTATTAATACTGAAATAAAACCTTACGTGACTTTTCGCCCAACAAAAACAATCACTTTGTCCTCTGGGGCCATCTCATGATGAATGAAGTCAACAATCTGCAACAAATACAAGAATATTCACAATAAAAAACATGGCAATAAAAAAGTACTATCGAAACACTCATGACTAATTTCTCTGTATTTAGTACTTACAAAATTTATTTTAGTTTGATTGTGTTGGAAGCTATAAGCTTATTGAAATACTCTTGAATCTGTTCCTGGAACCAACCAGTACTAAGCAATGAATGCAAAGTTTCTTGCTCAAGGAAACAACGCATTGCCCCTGATGGGGTTTGAACCCACATAGTCAGCAATCCTTGACTTACTAGTCAGACACGTTAACCACCCAGCCACACCGCCATCCGGCCAGTTTCAAATTATTTTGTTACATAAACATTGTAATTCATGAGATAATAATGAGATAATTATAATTATAATTTAATAAATTCTGAAATGTTGGGAGACCAATGATGACAATTGTAGTCAATAGAAAAATCTCAAGGGAGAGGTTGCCAATAAGTTAAAATGACTCCCTATCAACCTAGATAGAATTAAAACCATCAGTAAAGAACCTGGCCAAACTGTACAGATGTGCAGGCTTACTAGGCTCTATACTGGTGGCAAAGCTTATCACTGAAAGATTTGATACTTTAATTTTAGTTTTTGTGTCGCACCAACACATTATAGTTCATATGGTGACTTTACAGCTTTATTGGTTGCTCCTCTATAAATTATTTCCGACGCAAATGGGCATCTGAGTAGAACCATTGATGTTCCGTAAGCTATCTAAACTCAATTTGTCACATGGAGAATATTACGACGCTTGTGCGGCTTAAACCTACAGGGGTGACAGGCAAGTGGTTTGAAGAGAACAATCTTGACCACTCAGCAAGGATTAATATTAAGTACACTAGAGTGTATGAAACCTACTCTTTGTTTCTTGTCTTCTTCAGCAATAATTTCAACCCTCTGTGTAACACTATGTACAGCCTGTTGGTAAAGAAAACACATGATCGTATGATTACAAAAATATGTTATACTTTTCTAAATTCACTGTAATGAACAAAAATACCAAATTTTTCAATTATATTTGTTAATATAACTTAAGGTGACAACGGAGTCAATTATCACTGAAAATACCTAAAATGAGATTTTTTGCTTAGTATATTTATCAACCTTTTCTGAACACATTCGTGATTTAATTTTGGAAGCAGTAAGTCCAAAAAATGTGTTTTTAAACGTTTTAAAACGGTACCTGTACTATTTTTATCTGCTATCGCGTAACCTGTCAATTATCGATAACGCTCCGCCCCCTGTTGAGGCATCAATGAGGGAAATCGGTAGTTCCATATATGCGTGAATTACCGGTCCATACTACTCGTAATTCATGTATCGTACAAATACCGTACATCTTTTATGAAAATCGTCTACCTTTTATTTAGCCTTTTTTATAAAATAAGAAATTGTCGGCCAATGTACGTAACATAATGTATGAAACATAAATAATTAAGCATAGCGGCAAATCGCACGACCACGGGGTTGATTAAAAATATAGTTGCTAAAATATCCATAATGTGTGAAAATAATTTGTCTGTCCCGTTAATCTGATAGATATTACATTGAGTTTATGGACTTTTGTAAGGATTCAAGGGCTTGCTTTACATTCAACCTCGTTTTCTAACAATGTCAAGTAAAACAACAACAAAAACAGACAACATTTTTTATGTGAACGCCTATATGACTTGTGGTAAGGTGTCCCTGACAAATTTCTAAACCATTTTAGGTTGTCTAAGGATGATTATTTCTCTATGAATCAATAAAAAAAGATAATAAAATAAATTATCAGTGAATGCTTTGAATAAATTGTTCGCTAGTAAATCGAACACAGTACTAATAAACCTGGGAGAAAGTTTGGAATTTATTGTATATCCCAGTAGAAACTGGATCTCTATGCCGTGCATAGATGATTTTCATGATAATAGAAGTCAAGAAGGTCAGATCATAATGATCGAGTGATACCTTTTATTTCTATTAAAATATGTGAAGCATTTATATCAATTTGGATGAAAAAATATATAAAATCCCGTTCTTATTTGTACATCTACCATGGACTTTAAAATACTGTCAGAAGCTCAGTTTTTTTGTTATTTTAATTTATATTTTAACGGAATTTCACACACGAGTACACAGATAGAGTGACACTGGTATAATATAATAATAATGCTGATGATAATAATAATAAACTTCAAATGTGAAACAATTAAATACCCCGCTAGCGGTGCACAAATACGTCCCATTTCCCCCCACCGAGTGCCTCAAATTTTACCGAAAGTCACGTGACATGTGCAACCGATACCAGACTAACGGTAAATCACGTTAAGATGTGAAGAAATTTCTGTTTTAAACTGATATTAATCAGCAACTTTTTAATTGGTCAGATGTCACTGGGTCATAAAATGTTGTTAGTGTATGTTACCGCAACTTGTGACCCTCTCTGGTGCGATATTTGTGTATTATGTAATTATTTAGCGTGAAACGTAGGGGTCCGAGAGAGAACAGCCAATTTATGACACTTCGTTTGATGCGGATCGGACTAACTTTGAATCGGCATAACTTTTTTAATAATCAAGCAATTAACATGCGGTTTAAAGCACATGAAAGGGAATTCATTTACGGAGGGAACCGTGTCAGGGATTTTTGTTTGCTCAATCAGCGACTTAATTATCTTTAATTACGTAATATGTATGGTGAAAAAAGTCGCATAAAATGTTTGACGTTACGTAATATTTTTTTGAGAAAAGATAGACAAAATTTGAGACACGGTTCCCCAGATATTATAAGTATGTTTATTTTCCAAAAGTTTGATGACAAAAAAATAAAAAATGACTTTGATATGACGATTTAAAATTTTAGGATTTTTATTAAAAATCAATCATTTACAAAGACATTTTTTTAAAATATGTTATTTTTTATGATGATCAACGACATTTAATGCACAAAGATTAAATAAATAACAATTATTACTAAAATAAGTTGGTTTAAATGACATTTATGTGATTACCACGGAAAGTGTCTGTTGTCACCTTAATTCATGTTTCTTTTAATTTTTAATTGGATTTTTACATCGCACTAATATAATATAGGTCATATGGCGGCTTTCTAGTCTTACTGGTAGAGAAAGACCTAAAGTGCCCTTTCCTGCATTATTTCTGGCACAGACACCAGAGTAGAACCTTGAACCATAAGCTAGCACAGGAGTGTTCCTTTTATTGTTTACTATTACCCTACTGGCTTTGCATTATGCATTTTATCCATTTTGAATTTTGAACAGTCCATCATTATAAAGCATCTTATGGCATTTCAGTTTTAAAATACTTTTAAAATTGCAGTTAAACCAGAATTGAAATTGTTAGCATACAAAAATTGGTAATTATTACCAAAATTGGTAATTAAATGCTGAAAATGCTAAAATCCTTTGTTCTACTCAAATGCAGACAGTAAATGTTTTTTTTAACTTACAGCTAAATCTAGACTGCCGACAAACACTTGTATTGGATTGGTCAAATATCTCTCCCCTATTCTTTGTACATCCACTGGCCATGTTGCGCTAAAATATTGTCAAATATACTTACTGTTCGAACATATCTATCACAATACATTATATAAATTCAATAGGTTCAAAGAAAAAACTTTAAACTTGATAACAAGTAATAATTACAGATATTTTAGAATTGTTAATAATACTTAAGAAATTAGTCAAAAATGTTTCAGTAATAAACTGTTAAGTCTTTCAGAACAGGAAATTTATATCTTCAATATACACAAAATATTTAAACAACTCTACTTCTACCTACCTGGTCATGACTGTCTGTCGGTCAGGTCTAATATCCAGCAAAATCTTCTTGATTTCTGGTTCGAACCCCATATCCAACATACGATCAGCCTCGTCAAGAACGAGGTATGTTACACTCTTCACGTTGATTATATTGTTCATCACCAGGTCGTTCAATCGTCCCGGCGTGGCTACAATTATCTCTACACCTTTCGTAACCATGTTGATCTGTTCACGTCGGTTACCACCTCCGTACACACATATACTGAAATAACCCTTTATTATACATTGGTTTATCTTTACAAACATGGGAAAATTTTTACGCCGATACTTTCTGATTTCAGACTTTGCTATTGCATAACTCCCAATGAGACAAGCCTTTTACTCTCTTGATCAAAAAAATTACAACAGCAGTCTTTTGCTGATGTTCACAAGACTAGGCTTCATGCCAATTTATGTACATGCGTAGTTGCACAGAAGATTGAAATGTGTTTTCCCAATAAGTCTATTTTAAACTATTAAAGTGACCACCAGAACTGTTCAGGCTATGCTCCAAAACATCAATCTTTTTTTTCTCCTCTGTATTTCTATATACAATAGATGTAAGGTATGATTGGGGATGACCCTAACTCCTTCATACCTACTATTGGGGATGAATAAACGGGGTAAGCATGCTGGGGCCTCATTAAAAAAAGAAATCACCAATTTCACTAACACTTCTTTTATCTTGCAAATTAAAAACCTAAGAAAAGCTTCAACTATAGCTATCAATTGTTTTAAGAATTTCTACCTTCTGATACCCATATAACTGAATTTCTTCACTTCCTCCTCAATCTGTAGGGCTAGCTCTCTTGTTGGTGACAATACTAGAACATTTGGTCCATCTCTCTCCTCTCTCGGGCTAAAGATTAACATCAAAACATGGAGATTATTATCCATGTACATCCAGGTAAAAATTAAATTGAAGGCAGTTTGTATACTGTTTACACTTTATACAATATTATATATAATCAAGAAACTTTTTCTAATTGACTCAACTTTTCTTTAAAATAAAATGAGCTGTGTCAAGACAAAACCAACATAGTGGGTTTGCGACCAGCATGGATCCAGACCAGCCTGCGCATCCGCGCAATCTGATCAGGATCCATGCTGTTCGCTTTCAAACCCTATAACAAGTACAGAAACTGATAGTGAACAGCATGAACCCTGATCAGACTGCGTGGATGCGCAGGCTGATCTGGATCCGTGCTGGTCGCAAACCCATTATGTTGGTTTTGTCATGACGCGGCTCAAATATTACTAATTCTAAAAATTATTCAAGATCTGAGGAACAGAAAATTCTGTTCTGTTAATTGCTGGAAATCAACACTTCATGTCTGTTTTCATTTTAATTTTAACATTGAAATTACTGTATAAATTTAAGTGGTGTTATCAATAGTTGCTCCTTAATACATTGTTTTCCAAGTCTCAGAAACAGAATGTACTTTATTTTAAGCATTACTGACCTTGACCAAATCAACATCAAACCATATGCAAAGGTAGAGATCTATGTAAAATGCATTCACACCAACAAATATAAAAGATAAAACTTATTTAAAAGAGACTAAAAGAGAATCAGTCGTGTGACAGAATGATCAAATGCAAGATATATGGCAACTGTATGCATCCCTCTTTTTTATCAGAGAGGATCAAAAATTTATATGAATACACTTACACTGGTTGTCCATCTATATGTATAAAGGCAGGTAGGAGAAAAGCCAAAGTTTTTCCAGTACCAGTCTGAAAGGTAAAATACAAACAAATTCAGATCAGACTAAGAAATATTTAACAAGGTTATAAGCGCGCCCTTTAAACGTTTATCATTTTCGCTAACCGAGACACCCCTAATTTTAGCATACTCAATGAATAAATAGTAGCTTACATTGAAAAAAAAAATTCAACAGAATATGGTAACCAAATAATGTTTTATATGTAAACTTCTTTTTAAAATTTCAATCTCTATTGATTCCAAAAGTTAAAAACAAAAATCCGAACAAACGTGTGAAAATTTGTTCCTAGCAACTTTTTACCAATTGGTCATCAACACAACAATACTGTAGCATTTTGAAACAATTTACTCTACCTGTGCAATTCCTATCAAGTCCTTGCCTCTCAGTAGAACTGGCCACGCCTGGCTCTAAAAGGTAAACACAACATAGCACTGTAAATACATAACATAGAATGGTCAAAACATTTCTTATTATACTTTAGGTGTGAATCATGGATTAAACTTATCAACGCTAGACAATTTCAGTCATATATCAAAACTAGACGGAAGGTCTGGATTTAAATATTATTCAATATTATTCAATGTATTCATATTATTTCCAAGTGGATTTGAAAATTTTGAACAAAAAAAAAATTCTATTAATTTGAACCAACTACAAACAGAGGTTTACCTGCAAGTTGTTGTATTAAATTACAAAGGGAGGTTTTACAGGCATGTAGTTGTATTAAAATACAAAGTGAAATATCTGTACCAAATTAATGAGATTTTTACCACTATTTGGTATTACAAAAAGCATTGGCCTACAGGCTGCTTTTAAGCATAAACATTTATTAATTCTTAATTAGTTGAAAGTTACAAAATAAATTGCAATTATACCTGTATTGGGCTTGGTTTAGTGAATTTTTGTTTATAGATTGTGTCCAATATACCAGCTAAAATGTATAGAAACACAATATATGTCATCATAACATGAACCTGCATAAGTCATCTTCATAATATATAGGCTTTTTGAGAGATTGACAGACAATTAAAACAACAACAAAAATAGATTCTACATTAAAGGAACTCCACTAATGTCCAAAAGCCTAAAAACATAAAATTTGAATTCTTACATAGATCAACTTGAAGCACTTAAAACAGAAATGTATGCAAAAGATATGTAAGAAATATACTAAGAATAAACTGAGTCATATGTTTTTGGTATTTCAGACGGATTTCAGTTAAAACCTGTGCAACGTTTTTCAACTTTGGATAAATTTTTTTTTTACGGTAACAATAATCATTCTGGAAAAATGGTGTGAGCAAACAATATGAAATTTTGCACACAAGTCATTGGTCTACATGTACATCAAATGGAACATTAATCTTGAATAATTATTTTCAGTACCATCATGTCAAAAAACCTCAGTGGATTTCCTTTAAAAAAAAAAAATCCCTTAAAAATTCCCTTTAAAACATCTTTCATAGACCTAATAAAAATTCAATTTCAAGTGCCGTGGTGGCTGGCTGGTTAACATGTCAGGCCAGGAATCTAAACCTTGCTGAACAAGTGGATTCAATCCCTTATCAAGGGCAAGCCGTTGTTTTCTTGAGCAAGACACTTTACATTCATTGCTAAGTACTGGTTGGTTCCAGAAACCCATTTGAGTGTTTCAATAAGCTTATAGCTTCCTATACACTCAAACTAGGATAATTTCTGTATAAACTAAATCCAAATATATAAGCAATTTAAGTAAAGTGGCACACCTTATAACAAGAGGGCCATGATGGCCCTTGATCGCTCCCCTGACCCATCAACCACATCCAAGCAATGTCTTAGACAAGCATCCTGGCCAAGTTTGATGACAATTGAGTCAAAAATGTGACCTCTAGTGTATTAAAAAGGTTTTCCATATTTGGGCAATGTGACCTAATTTTTGACTGGAGACGACCCATATTAAAACTTGACCTAGAAATCATCAAAACAACCTTCCTGACAAATTTCCAGGATATCTGGATCAAAACTGCAGCCACTAGAGTGTTAACAAGATTTTTCTATTTTTATCTTCTGTGACCTAGTTTTTGACCGGAGATGACCCATCTTCGGACTTGACCTGAAAATTATCAAAACAACCTTCCTGAGAAATTTCAAGAATATTTCGATCAAAACTGCAGCCACTAGAGTGTAAACAAGCTTTTTCTATTTTTAGCTCCTGTGACCTAATTTTTGACAGGAGATGACCCATCTTCAAACTTGACCTAGAAATCATCAAAACAACCTTCCTGACAAATTTCAAGAATATTTCAATCAAAACTGCAGCCACTAGAGTGTAAACAAGCTTTTTCTATTTTTAGCTCCTGTGACCTAATCTTTGACCTGTGATAATCCATCTTCAAAATTGACCTAGAAATTATCAAAACAATCTTCCTGACAAATTTCCAGAATATTTGGATCAAAATTGCAGCCACTACAGTATTAACAAGCTTTTCCTATTTTTAGCTCCTGTGACCTAGTTTTTGACCTGCGAACTTGAATTAGAAATTATCAAAACAACCTTCCTGACAAATTTCCAGAATATTTGAAGCAAAACTACAGCCACTAGAGTGGTAATAAGCTTTTTCTATTTTTAGCTCCTGTGACCTAGTTTTGACCGGAGATGACCCATCTTCAAACTTGACCTAGAAATCATCAAAACAACCTTTCTGACAAACTTCCAGAATATCTGGATCAAAACTGCAGTTTTTGACCGGAGATAACCCATCTTTGAACTCTATCTGTATTTCATTGAGACAAACATTCTGACAAAGTTTGACAATGATCCAATCAAATCCAGACTGCTAGACTGTTAATAACCCAATTGTTGACGACACACGACATCGGACGCCGTACATAGCCCCATCACTTTACCTCACCTTGAACACTTCGTGGTCAGGTGAGCTAAAAATATAATAATTCAAAAGACAATCTCTCAGTAAACTAAAGTCATGTTCTATTAAGTGTAACTATTATAATTCCTAAAAAGATATTAAAATTGAAAAAGTTAGGTCTGATACTTTTAGAATACTATGAAACCCAATATACAGCAAACAATAAATAGGTAAATGTTATTATTTCTCATAAGAATGTTTTTTCAGTACATCTGTATGTAACAGAATTAAATAAGTACAAAATATGCTAAAATCTTACGATAATGGCTAAATGCGTCTTCGAAAGTCCTAACCGGATTTGGAACCTGAATTTCACCATTCTTATCTAGGTTGGTCACTGTTATATTAAAATTAAACTCCCTGAAAGATTAAAAAAAAAGTATTATCCCCTACCCTCCTTGATCTGAAAGCATTTAGTGTTTGCAAACAATATTCAGCCAGACCAGCTTACACATCAGTCTGACTGGACTCTATACCATTGGCTGACAAACTTCATGATATCCCCGAAATTGATAATGGGAAGTTCCAAAAATTGAAGCTGGACATTACCATTTAAGAATAATAGGGTTTCTTAGAACATAAGATGTCAATAACCTTGTGAGTAGTCTTTTTCAACAAGAAAATAATTCTCTCTGATTTGTTCAGCTTTCCTTCATGCATTTTACAAGAAGACATTTGGGAATACAACTTTACTCAATCAAATTCAGAAAATACAACCAATCATAAATGTACACTTGTGCAATATCCAAATATATCCACTCATAAAATACTATCACTACAATAACACACTCTGTCATCTTAGTGCAGTAAAGGTTTAAGTCCTTCTAAATTTAATATTAGTTATCCAGTTATTACTTGAAGGTGACTCAAGGGCATCCGTGGCCGAGTGGTTACAGTCATTGACTTCAAACCACTTGTCCCTCACCTCTGCTGGTTAGAATCCCGACAGGGACTTTGGATTCTTTTATGTGAGGAAGCTATCCAGCTAGCTTACAGATCGTCCGTGGTTCTATTTAGGTGCCCGTTTGTGCCTGAAATAATGCACGGAAGGGCACCTGGGGTCTTCCTCCACCAGTAAAGCTGAAATGTCACTATATGACCTATAATGCGTTGGCGTGAAGTAAAACCTTCAAGCTTCAATGGAAGACATTTACAAAATGTTTCACATACCTTATATACTCCACCTCCGAGGGAGACATATTTGCGACTTCAGGCGTTTCAATATAGAAATTTTTCTTTATAGGACGCAGGTCTGAAAATAATAAAAATCCATTTTATCAAATCCTTGAGTGAGACAAAAAAAAGTCTTGAAGCACCACACTAAAAACTGTATTGCAATACATACCATACAAGGTGCTTGAATGATATCATTTAAAAATCTTGTCTTCTGACCCAACAAAATAAACTTAAAAATGTCTAACTCATCTCTTCACACCAATTCATATTTGATAATGATTGAAAAATGGAAGAATCGCAGGAAAAAGCGATATTTTTCTACTTTGTGATCATTTTTTCTTCAAGTGTCTAGGTACTGCTCCAACACTGTAGTGAGTTAAATCCTGAATTCTTACCCCCTTGACTTTGTGTAATGGTCTTGTCAATCTTTGAATTCGGATTTTAAAGTTAAAAGTTAATTAAGTTAGTTAAATTAAAGTTTAAAGCCCATTTCAAAATACTAAACTGAAGAAGCCAACAATATTAAGTCTTGTCAAACAGCACTTACTGGTCTAGCCATCATTTCATTGGTTGAAATATCCAGTTATTATTTCCCTTAACTCCTTTGTAATAATAAAGCTAATAACAGTGATCTGTCTGTGGGTTAATTTTTTGGCCAAGTATCATAAACTTAGCATATTATCAGGTTTCTTATATACTCATGAACTACCTTTCTCGAAATATGTGAACTCGTCCAAAAGCTAGAGTGCTTGGAAGTTAATAAACTTACATTTAATGAGAACAATCAATCATATTACTATATGATCACAACAAAAGGTTGGAATTAAAAAAAATTTACTGTTTGATAATGTGGCGGCATGGTCATGTGGTTAACATGTGACTGTCAGACAAGAAATCTAAGGATTGCTGGACGTGGGCGTTGTTCAAACCTCATCAGGGACATGCTGTTGTTACGATTAGCAAGAAACTTTACACTAATTGCTTCGAACTGGTTTGTTCCAGGAACAGATTTGAGCGTGTTTTTATAAACTTCCAATGTAATCTAACTTAAATGAATTTGTATAAACTTAGCCAGGTTAAAGAACATTATATGTGCACTCATTCCAGCTTTACCTGCAAACTTTTTCGCATCATTTGCCTCCTTTTCTTTTAAAATCATCCCCCAGTTGATTTTTCTTGGTATCACACTTTCTTCAACACTCTCTGTGAACCCATTGCTATCTGAAACGATAAAATTACATTATTTTACCTCACATGCCCATACATGTATCTAACATCTGTGACCTGCTTGAATACCACAGCCATTAAGGACTAGCAATTTAAGTCAAAAACTTGACCAGTAAGTCAAAGAAGCCTCTGACAATAATGAATTTTTTAGAAGAAAAAAAAAACACAAAAGAAACAGTCAACTTTTATCATTACCTTTAAGATTTAAGGACTTCACAGTTCTAAAGGGGCATATGATGTCATTTTCAGACTCAAATCCCTTTATGTTTATTCATTTATTTATTTTTTCTTTTGAAAGGGAAATATTTGGGGGTTAAGGATGGGAGAAAATGGTACAGTTCAGAGTATGTAGAGCATCTCTCAATAAAGTAATACCATTTTTACAGCAAAACTATCAATTCTTCTCAAATGAAGACTTCACAATAAATTTAACCCTTTCAGAGTGACAATTTTTAGCAACAAATAAAAGCTTCGTATTTCCAAAGGATGATGCTCTGTAAAGGTTGTAATGTGTATCAAACAAAGGAAGTCTCGGCTACTTTCGAGTACTGAACTATTACTACATGGATCGTTATTTATCATTAAAACTGGCCAACCATATTTTAAAACATTACATATTTTACTTTCATTGCCATGGTAATAATTATTCCTGTAAAATTACAAGTTTATCATATTACTGTACAACTATTTCAAAAGTTTAAAGCTACACTCCCACAAACAGAGGTTTTAAAGTTTCTCAAGTGTCAGTAAAAGATCTAATTACACTGTAGATTCATATATTTACATGAAAATAGATGTCATTAAAAGATCTAATTACACTGTAGAAATGATAGATTATGGAAGCTAAGAAAGAGAACTTTAATATTTCTCCTCATCTCTTTGTGAATTTATCCTTCCAAAAACCTACCAAAAAATCCCTTTGAAAATCAAAAATTATCATTTTTACCTGATGACCTTGAACTTCCACCAAATGACCTTGACCCTCTGCCATCAGAGTCACTTAAAAGTTCGTTAATAAGATCCTTTGCCTTGCTGATAGCATCTGCTGATCCAGAGAGTTCAACTATAGTTTCTCCATAAGAATCACTGTCACGCTGCACCTATAAATAGAATGAATGCCAATGACTGATATACATTAACAAACAAGCTTAATCAATCTGGCCTTCACCTTTGAAGAACATCGTTTGAAAAACAATATAGCCATGATCAACCTGTCTTGGTCTCATGGACCTTTATCGGTCACATTGTACTTATGGACCTTTATTGGTCACATGGTATACATGGACTATTATTGGTCACATGGTATGTTGGCCCTCTATTAGTCATATGGTATTCAATCATGGACCTTATTTGGTCACATGGTATTCTTGAACATTTATTGGTTACATGTACCTTAATTAGTAAAATGGTATTCATGGACTTTTATTGGTCACATGATGGTATTCATGGATATTTTATGGTCACATGGTATTCATAGACCCTCATTGGTCACATGGTATTCATGGACCCTCATTGGTCACATGATATTCATGGACATTCAATGGTCACATGGTATTCATGGACCCTCATTGGTCACATGGTATTCATGGACCCTCATTTGTCACATGATATTCATGGACATTTAATGGTCACATGGTTATCATACAGCCTTCAAAACTCATACTCTCTTGACTTTATAATAATCAATTTTTCATCTTATATAAGCTTCAAAACAGCAAAACTATTTTGATTACAAATGCATGTATTTGTCATCAAATATAAGTAGAACTTATAAATAACCCCATATAAAATAACATTGAATATGATATAACTGACATATTGATTATAACAGAAAGTCATGTATCTTTAGTCTGTAAGTACTTTCACAGGAATAGCCTATTGTCTACAACAGCATTTTCCAATAACAGAAATGTGCAGCACTCCCAAACAGAAGGTAATGGTGCAGTCCATTTTATTGCAATACAGAATCTACACTCCTTTTTAAAAAAATAGATTCTTCTATTGTCAATCTATTATCATGTTATTTTTTATATATACATGTAAAGGTCAAACCATAAAGGTAATGTGCTCTTAGACAGCAGAACTATTTCAGTACATACTGAACTTTTCAACAACGAGCACTTACAAATAGGTGCATATAAACCAGGTACAATGACATTAAGTGCGTTTAAACTCATCTTAAGTTCCTAAGCACCCACTTGTTCTGAACTTATATATGTACTCTATGTATCTATGTAATGGTAGACAATCCTTTCAGCTGGAAGAATCCATTGTGGATTTATAAATATCAAACCTAAAGTTCAATGGACTAGTCAATAATATGCAATATTGACTGGTCTGAATTAAGGTGCAGTCTTTCCTAAGGAAATTAACACATTACCATTGCCGCGTGATTTGGACTTTTTTTTTTTCATTTAAGAAAACTAAGAAAAACTTATTAAAGGTGTTTGTTTTTTTTGTTGTTTATTTTTTAGCAGAAAAAATATAGAACTGCTATATTATTTTCAGAAGTTGTAAAACTAGATTTTATTTACAGTTTGTATTTTGTATAAAATCAATTCAAATAATTTCATTACACATAAAATTGTTGATAGAAAGAACTTAAATCTTATTTAATTATCAGTCTTCGACTTAACCCACTCGACCGACGACCGAGTCGAGTAAATTTGCGGGTGGTCGAGTGAAAATTTCAAGCTGGTAGCCCGTCTGGTCGAGGGCTTTTTTCATATCCAAATTAAGAAAATGTTCGAAATATGCAGAGCTCCAGATAGCAATGTTTTGGCTTTATGAAAATACAATATATTTCTGCTAAATTGGATGGAAAACTAAAAGTACTATTGTCAACACTGCTGTAAGTTGAAAACGAAAGTAGCAGGAAGTGACATCGAGTAAAAAGGGAAGGTAACTCTTGGGAGTTTCTGAAATGAAATTATTGATAAAGTTAAATTTGGTGTAATCATCGTAGGACTTAACCTAATATTCAATTTGTTTAGACATATATTATAATGTTTTTGCTACAAAATAAAGAAAAATGTTGTACTTGCCACTTTAGTTATTGGAAAACATATTTCTCCCTTGCCATCTGCAGTTTTGTACTCAATATTTTCGTACCAAGTTTACAGTTACGGACAATTTCCTCAAAGACTAATTCTTTGTGTATAAAAGTTTTAATTTTATTATATTTATTTTTCATTAATTCTAATTTCAATTATAAATAATCAAAACCAAAGAACGGCACTAAAATGTAGTCTGTAGAAATAGAGTATGAATAAAGCCTCATGCTGACCATGTAGCTGATTGTAAAAGAATGTGACACATTCAAACAACAACATGTCACCAACAAAAAATGAGTCTTGTCATTAATTTGCTGTGTAACCTAAACAAACCCTAGTCTAGGGAAGCCTGCCTTAACTGAGCAAGTTTTGTATTATTTCACATTGAATCAATATTTTATTAAATAAGTCAGTCTGATTTATGTAAAGAAAGGAACTTTTTAGAAGGCAATGAAATTTGATAACAAAACAATGCAAATTCTTTTTATAAATTTTACCCCAGAATTTTCATTTTACTCTAGATTTTGATGGGTAAACCACCTTGGCCCTAAAAATTATTTGCAGCTTTATTGAACTTAAAACGCTTATGAAATATGATTGATTGTTAGACATTTATTAGGCGTCATCTCATGCTTCACAATATGTCTTTTTTCTTGTATTTTGAAGGCACTAAGCCAAAAAGGAACACACCAAAAAAAATAAATAAAAGTAATACTAAAAGGAATATAAATATGTTGTCAATGCATGTATCAGCCGACATTATTACAGTAAACGAGGAGAAGAGTATTTTCAGTTTTTAAACAATTTTTTTCAGTGTCTGTGGACAATGCCACAGAAATATCAAAATATCTTCTTTTCATATGTAGTTTAAACTCTTCTTACTTAAATAATGAAAGGAAGAAAAGTTGATTAGTTGATATTTTAATAATGTTAAATGGTATATAAAACATATAGAAAGTGTTATTTTGTACAAAATGTATGCAAAAAATACCATTTTGGTTCGGGCTAGTTAAAATGTGTTCGGGCTAGTGAAATTTGTAAGCTGCTAGCCCAACTGGGCTAGTGCTGATAAAAAATTAAGGCGAAGACTGAATTATTATTTTATTTTAAGCCCAAAGCATTTATACATATACATGAATATATTTAGGAAAGAGGTCAATCAATTTTGAGTGCCTTGCTGTATTATATTGTATGGTTAAAGTTGAAATGCTCAGAAATGTAATCACAAAAGCCTATAGGCCTGGCTGTTTAATTACATAGCATTGGTATGATTAATTTCTATTCTTATAACAATATGCTAACAAAAGCCACTGCCTAGCTGGGCCACACTCTACTTCTTCTTATTTCTAAGGAAGAATAAATATAACTCTAGGAAAAATAATTTTCATCAAAAGAATAAAATTCAAATTTCATGTATAGAACTTGATGGCCAAGATCAATTAAGGGTCAAGGTCACAATTGAATTAATCATCATGTCAGTTTTGTCATAAGTGCTCTTTTGTAAATAACGAAGCTATGACAATGTAAGCAAATATAAAAAAATTGACCTTGACCATCAAGTTCATTTAACGGTCAAGGTCATATCAGAATAATTCACATGCTGGTTTTCTTATATTTTTTTTGTTAATCCAAGTACCGATCAAAATTTGTACTTAAATAACAAAGTTATGACAATTTAAAAAAAAAATTTGACCTTGACAATCAAGGTATAAAAAAGGTCAATGTAATATTGAATAAAGCAACATGTCAGTTTTGTCACATGTCAGTTTTGTCTAAGTATGAATCAACTCTGTAAATAAATACAAAGTTATGACAATTTTAGCAAATTAAAATAACTTGACCTTGATAATAAGGTCTTAAAGCAAATTTGAAAAATCTGACCTTGATGATCAAGGTTAAATATTGGTCAAGTTCATATTCTAATTATTCAATATATGTGATTTGTCATAAAGTTATAAAGTTTCTTTTGCTTAAGTATAAATCTGATTCATAAATATGTGTCGTGGTTAAATTAAGGTCAAGGTAAGAGGTTCAGTTAAATCTTCTTGAAATCTTGTGCACAAGTTTGAAGTATGACAACAATACAGTAATTACCTATGAAGTTACAGCCAAATATAGCAAAAATATGTTAAATCACGATAATTCAACCTTCAAGGCCAAGGTCATTTATAAGTAAAGGTCTAATTGAGTTGGATTTTCTTTGAGACATTGTCTTAGTGTAGTTGTGCTCAAGTATGAGACAATCCATTCATAAATAACAAACTTAGAGTCAATAATAGCAAAATTCAAGCAAAATTAATTTCACTTTCAAAGTCAAGGTCATTGATAAATGTATGTCATTATCAATTTGGTCTTCTTGAAGGTCTTTTCCACAGGATTATTTTGTTAAGCAAATTATAGCAAAAGTCAAGCAAAATTCAAACATTTGAACTTGAAGGTCATTTATGACTTAAGATTAAGTTCAGTCTGGTCTATTTGAAGGTCTTGTTTGTCAAAGTATGAACAAAAACCCAAAGTAATAAACAAGAGGGTCATGATGGCCCTGAGGTCGCTCACCTGTATATAGGCCCCTGGAGCTGGGCCAGTTTAAACCCCAGAGCTTTTATTTGAGCCAACTTGGAAGACACCCAATAGAAGATGTTTTATGCTAAATATCTTAGCTCTAGCTCTTTGGGTTCTTTAAAAGAAGATTTTTTAAGTTTTTACTATATGCATATAGGGAAAATCAATGACCCCCTGGGGCGGGGCCAATTTTGACCCCAGGGCTTTTATTTGAACAAACTTGGTAGACACGCACTAGAAGATGTTTCATGCTTAATATCTAAACTCTAGCTATTTGGGTTTTTTCATAGAAGATTTTTTAAGTTTTTGCTATACACATATAATGAAAATCAATGACCCCCGGGGCGGGGCCAATTTTGACCCCAGAGCTTTTATTTGAACAAACTTTGTAGACACCTATTAGAACATGTTTCATGCTAAATATCTTAGCTCTAGCTCTTTGGGTTCTTTAAAGAAGATTTTTTAAGTTTTTACTATATGCATATAAGGAAAATCAATGACCCCCGGGGCGGGGCCAATTTTGACACCAGGGCTTTTATTTGAACAAACTTTGTAGACACCCATTAGAATATGTTTCATGCTAAATATCTTAGCTCTAGCTCTTTGGGTTCTTTAAAACAAGATTTTTTAAGTTTTTACTATATGCATATAGGGAAAATCAATGACCCACTGGGGCGAGGCCAATTTTGACCCCAGGGCTTTTATTTGAACAAACTTGGTAGACACCCATTAGAAGATGTTTCATGCTAAATATCTTAGCTTTAGCTCTATGGGTTTTTTACTATATGCATATAGGGAAAATCAATGACCCCCTGGGGCGGGGCCAATTTTGACCCCAGGGCTTTTATTTGAACTTGGTAGACACTCACTAGAAGATGTTTCACGCCAAATATCTAAGCTCTAGCTATTTGGCTTTTTAAAAGAAGATATTTAAAGTTTTTTATTTTGGTTGCCATGGCAACCAGAGTTCTGCATGGAATTAAATTCTTTGAACAATTTTCAAAGGTGACTACCAAATGACAATTCCTGTGAAGTTTGGATGAAATTGGCTTAGTGGTTTATGAGGAGATGTCATTTAAAGTAAAAGTTTACGGACGGACGATGGGCGGACGGACGCCGGACGAAAAGCGATCACAAAAGCTCACCCTGCTCACCCTGTCACTAGAACTGTGTCCAAAGGACAAGATGCCCTCCTGTTTAAGAGGAGTTGCGCTCACAAAATTTCTACATAGTATATAGTGAAAAAATCAACAAAGGGCCATAATTCTGTTAAATTTAGTTGCAGCAAAAATTCCTTCCTTAACTACCATCTACACATTAAGGTTGTTCATCCCTGGAAGTTTAAGCAAAATCTGCCATCCGGTTTAAGAGGAGTTGCGTTCACAAGATTTTGGGATGTACGGAAGGACGTTCCAACATTTTGGGTTTAGGGGCTATTTTCTTTGTTATATTCTCTGTTTTCTTTAGGGCTACTAGCCCCTAACCCTTTGATCACAGAATGAACCAATTGTTCTCTTTACTGTTATATAGCCCCTAAACCCAAAATGTTTGCTCGGACAGACGTACGGACGGACAGACAAGTGCAACACTATATGCTCCCTACTTTGTGGGGACATAATTAATGACCAGCGTTAAAGTTTTTTGGACAGCATACTAACAGACGGTAGCAAAAGCAAAAAGTCAAGTCAACATGATTCCACGTTAAATCTGAGAAGCAATGAAAAGTTCAACATGAACATTGAATTTGAGTCACATAGAATGATTATGGATAAACCTACCTTAATATTTGCTCCAGCCTCATCCTGCAATTCTCTTATCTTTGAGCCACCTTTACCTATGTATAAAAAGTAAGCAATAATTCAATTGAAGACAAAAAATGTTGTCACTGAGGATTAATATCAGAATTCCTGTATAGATAGTAACCAAAACAAGGTTACCACAATTCAAATTGAGTACAAATTCTTCATTTAGATAGAAAATGAAGATTTATAGATTTAAAATAAACAAATCAGTTTTCTTTTGATTTTTTAACCGACTTGAAATTCTCATACTGTCCAAACCAAGGATCATACAATTCAAGCTTCAGAGGCAGGGGGAAAAATTTAACATAGAGAAAAGAAGGAAAAAGATCAACAAATGTAATCAAATTCTCACTTTTCGATAAAAATTCCCCCTGTTTTTCTTACCCTAGAATAGACACTGTCTCCTTACAATAACATACAAGGAAAATGACTCCCAAGTCTTTACCTATAATCTTTCCAACAGAGGTGCTAGGCACTTTCATCTCAGTAAATTCAGAGCCCCTTTCCTGCTGCCCTCTCCACGATCTTCGATCCCCTCCCTGCCGACCTCTCCCGAATCCTCGGTCCTCTTCCTGACCTGTCCCGAAACCTCGATTTGAGTCATTTCTACTGCTTCCGAATGACGACCCAGATTCACCAAATCCATTATATGAGGAACTACCTAAAAACATTTCAGATAAGTTAAGTTTTACATGTACTACCTTTACGATTTTATAACAGCACAACTAGCGTTGACACGTATATCAATTTAAACGGATATGGTTGCTTTTTAGCTAACAGGTTAGAAAATACAACAAGAGGGCCATCATGGCCCTGAGTCGTTCACAAGAAACAACTGCTTTTCAGTGTTGGAAATTACCCTTGTCAATATTTTCTAATGAAATGCCATGACCTGGGGCATTTAACAGTCTATGCGAAAGACTTCTGAGTTTTACTGGACAGTAGGTCCTGTAAACTGAAAATTTTTACTGGACCAAACATGATTTTACTGGACCGAAAAAAACCTGATTGGTATAGCATTTTGAGTCACTTGATAAGTGTAAGCAGTCAAAAAATTTGTGTACAAAAAGAAAATTATATTATCAACAAAGTGAAGTTATCTTTTTTCACCACAATCAAAATGTAAACATAAATATTGTTATACATGTATTCAATGGATTTTGCTATTTAAACTTTAATTCCATACAGACTATATACTAGCAAACTGAGAGGGTAAATTTCAGCAAAAGTCTGGCATATGTAAACAGAATTATATATATCGGTAATTTACTGAAGTTGACAGATTAATTGTTCAATGATTTTGGTACCTTCACAGTATAGTTTAATTTTTGTCAACATCTTGGACGATCTTTCATAGCTAAACACCAGTTGAGCACACGTGTAATTAAGCATTACTCTAAGTCTGTGGATTAAAGACGTAAATTGTTCCAATTAATACACTGATACTTTCATCTGTGTAAACAAACTAATGGGTGACCTTTCACATCTGGGCCGCTTATGTAATTTACGCGGCCGCTTATTGACTTTTAATTGTACTAGTTGTCGGATATTTTTATCTTACGAAGTTACATAAAAGTTTGCATTATGAGAATGCATAACAGTTGACAAGCATTGCACGAGCTTAAATTGTGTAATGACAACATTTTGATATGTTTTGAATTTAGGTAAATGATCGGCCTTTGCAAAATGTTGAATGTAAGGTTTTTATAAAACCTTAATTTTTTACCGGACCGTCGGGTCGTCAATACATATATTTTTATCGGACCTTCTGATTTTTTACCGGTCAGGGCCGATGGTCCGACGGTCTTTCGGAAAGACTGCATTTAAGCTTTAACTTAAACAGGGCCAATCAAATTAATATGAGCAAACCAGATAAAACACTACATGAAGAATGCTACAGTCAAAGTTTGGTGATCATCTATCAATTTTTTCAGTAGGAAATGATGTTCAAAGGTTATTCTATTTTTATCTTTAGTTGATCAAATCAATATGAGTAAACTTGATAAAAGAGTACCCAAGAATGCTACAAACAAAGTTTGGTGATCATCCAACAATTAGTTCTGTAGTAGAAGATGTTTGAATTTTAGTTTTAGCCGCGCCTTAAGGGGTCCGATCAAATTAATATGAGCAAACTTGATAAAAGAGTACCCAAGAATGCTACAGACATAGTTTGGTGATCATCAAACAATTAGTTCTGTAGAAATAGACATTTAAAGGTATTTCTATTTTTAGCTTAAGAGGCCCTAAACAGGGCCAATCAAATTAATAGAGCAAACTTGATAAAAGACTACCTAAGAATGCTACAAACAAAGTTTGGTGATCATCCATCAATTAGTTCTGTAGAAATAGATGTTTAAAGGTATTTCTATTTTTAGCTTTAGCAGCCCTTTAAAGGGGCCGATCAAATTAATATGAGCAAATTTGATAAAAGAGTACCCAAGAATGCTACAGACAAAGTTTGGTGATCATCCATCCATTAGTTCTATAGAAGAAGAAGTTTAAAGGTTTTTTCTACTTTTAGCCCTAGAGACCCCTTAAAGTGGCCAATCAAATAAATATGAGCAAACTTGATAGAAGACTACCCATCAATTAGTTCTGTAGTAGAAGATGTTAAAAGGTTTTTCTATTTTTAGCTCTGTTGAAGCCAATTGAAATGACATTCAAATTCATGAGCAAATTGAATTGAAGTGTGACTGTCACAAGGATGCTACAGACCAAATTTGAAGTAAATCTGCCCAGCAGTTTCAAAGAAGATGAAGATACAATGTAGTTGACTCATGACGCCGGACGCCGGAGCATCCCCCTTTGATACTTCGGTTCTGGTGAGCTAATAACTGGTAACCAAGGTACAAATGTATTTGACAAAGAGGTAAAAAGTTTTAAATTGATTCTAAACATTACCTTCGTTTCATATCACAAAATATGACAATTTGTTGGTATTATAGTTGTATTCAACAATGTATTTTTTTCCAATCTGATTGATAATGGAACGACCCTAACGGCAAATAGTTACTCCATATTCAGATATGTATTGAAATCAATTTGAAAATAAAACAATGCGAACATATCTTGTCATAAAGAAACAAAGTTAATGTTGAAAATCTAAGGATTTTATTAGTTTGATCGGTTAAACATATAACACAGTTATCTGGTCTCCGTTTAAATGATTAGTATTCTTTTCTAACCGTGACACCCTGAAGAACAACAGTACATTTGAACCATCCATTAATCAGAATTAACCATAATCTATATGCATTATCATAAAAATACTCAATGGACCAAATGAACAAGATTCAATCCTATTAAGCTTCATTAACACCATCCATTATAATTCCAGACTTTTATCTTAGCACTTTGCAAAGTTGGCATGACCCCAGAATTGGGAATCTTTATGTTTTAGACAATGGGAACAACTTGCAACACACATGTATTTAATATTCACACAAAAAAAAAGACAAAAGAAATCAAATATCTGGTATATTAGGATCCTTTTTAAATTTCACTCGAAAGGACGGATTACAATTTGGAAAGTAAAATAACTATTTTCTATCGCACAGTGCAGTTAAATGTAACAAAATAACAAAAAAAAAATTTTTTTGTTCCTTGAATTGGGAATTTTCTTCTTGAAATAGGGGGGAGGGGGGATGCTTTTTAGCATTGAGATATTGAGATCATGACCACATATCAGGTATCAAAATGTGCCAGAAAAACATGCCTCCTTTCCTTTCGTGACATATGATTCTAAATGCTATCAAATAAGAACTCTCCAAATTCAATTTAAGGAAAATTTTAAGTTCAAGGGGAGATAACTCCAGAAATATTGTGCTAGAGTTACGAACCTTATCACATATCACATGTAAATGATGATAAGGATCATATTTTTGAAGTTTGAATTACATCCTTTTTGAAATAAAGATGTTATTTTAAAAAAATGCTTTACACCACAAAAAAGTTAACTCAGATCTATGCTAGTGTGACTAGGACATCTCTCCATTTGACAAGTTAAAAATAGCTACAAAGGTGCTGTCATTCATAAAACTTGCTTAATAAATAACATTACCTCCAAATGACCTTGAACCCCTGTCATCATTCACTAAATCATTTATAAGCTGACTTGCTTTGCTGACAGCATCAGGTGACCCTGATATCTCTACTTCAGTTGTGTCCCCTTGATTTTCACGCCTAACCTGAAGATAGAATGTATCAATAGGAGATTTTCTGTACCTCTATGAATATATTTGTTTGGGGAATAACAAGTAAAAAACTGGAGACACTAGAATATTTATACATGTATCATTCATTTAAATAAACATAATTTGTAGATAACATAATTATATGTGTTTAACAAAATAAACAGCAAAGTCCTTGATAAAAAGTGGTTAAACCCCTCAAAATATTGGTGGTTGATTGCTGATAAACTCTATGCAATACCATCATTTATTTTAAGTTTGTTACATAATTATCTGACAGTCCAAAATTTGAGTAAACATTCCTTAATATAAATATTATAGAAACACATCTTTTTCATACATTCTTAAGGATCATAAAATAGACTTTCCCATATTATCCCCATGCAAACAGGCCGAGACATTAACTTTTGAATCAGGTTGTCCTGTTGGGCAAGTAGTTTTTAAAAGTACTTGCCCTGACCTAAGACTTACTTGTCCTGACCTAAAAATGGTAAAAATGTATCAATCAGAAAAGACAAACAAGCTCATACAATATTACTTCTTGTATAAGGTCATTTTAACATAAGGCAATAAACTAGACATATTGTTTATGAAATTGATTGTTAGTTAGACACAAATATATTGTATTCAGTAGTTAATCTAAAACATCAGTTCATCAATCATCATCCAGGCTAATAACGACGACGTTTATAATGTCGTTATATGAGATAAAACAATAAATCATTTTTCAATACGAATCGAAAGATCAATACGATTATTTACGTATTTTCAATATCATCTTTACATGCACACATCAAAATTAAAACGACAGCATGGCCCGGAAATTACCTTGTACAAAATTAAATATAGTCTATTATTAGAACGGGGAATTACCTTACAGCAGCGCATGCTCATATTTTGGCTTCCGTTTTCTATATCAACAAATGTACATGTATGACAGTAGTGTATTTACATTATTGATAATTGTTCATGGTGTATTTATGTTTTACAGATGTTTATAAATGAAAAGGTGTTTTTTCTATTTATTTTGAACATGCATTTTGTTAATGTGCTTTTCAAAATAACTTGCCCGAACCAAACTTTTAGTTGTCCCGGGCAGTCGGACAACCGTTAATGTCGAGCCCTGGCAAAATAACTACTCCCTTCATACAAGGCCATGCCCCCTTTTCATCTTTAAATGATAAGAGAACTTATTTGCTTCATATAAATAATTCAACTTACATCAATCCTTGCCTGACTTTCATCCTGAAGCTCTCTTATTTTAGAACCACCTTTCCCTGAAAATGATATAAACACCAGCTGTCAAAGTACACACAATAACTAATCTTTTTAGCGTGATACAGGTATCAAAACAATTTAATGAATGCAAATTCAATGCAGGTTTAAAGTGATAGGATATCACATACATGTACAGTGGAACTTAACCAACTTCCCCGTTCATAGGCTAAAGTTGCCTAATTTCATACTGAGAGATTAATAATATAAGTTGCAAGAACTTATTTTGCAATCGAGCTTACTGCTTAAATAAATATGTTTAAACACGGATTTATATTACAAGGATCGGACACTTTCGTTTAGCTTAAAGTCCCGTCGCGCGCATGCGCGGAATCGGATAAAGGTGGACAGAACGAGATGGCGGAACGCGCGGAGTACGAAATATGACAGATTTTCACCGGAGTATGTGGTGTTATTGCAGCTTTGTGAAAAATTATACACATATGAATGTATTGATGCAGTATTATATTGTGTCGCTAAAGTATTAATATATGAAAATATGCTGATAGAACGCTGCAACGCCTAGTTAAAAAGTACCTAATTTAAAAAATATTTGCCTATTGTTTAGGCATACTCTCTACACTTCGCCGCCCTTTTACTTCAAGCACGAATTATTACCGCGATTCAGAATAAGATAATAATTTTTTACATGGTTTAATGATGGCATTGCAAAAAAATGTTTCTTGATTGCTAAAAAACTTTTAAAGAAATTCATGTTTGAAATGTGTCTTTATTTGTGTGAATTATTTCCAAATGATTTGTACATTTTTTATTTGATTACCTGTATATTAGTATAAATATAGTAAATATTCTACTAATAAGTGTATTAAATATATTTTCAGACCATTCTAGACAAGCATTCCTATAGATGAATTCATTAGATTGGCAAGGAAGAAACTTTTATTGGCATAGAGAACAGCTGTTTTATAATATTATTTTTTATTTTGAAACATAATTTTTTCATGGTTATCCTTAACAAATCACGTAAAATGATTTATTTATCACATGTTTATTTTCATTATTTTTCAGAGAAAGGACTATACAAATTTAGTTGTATATTTTCAATTTCATTTATAAATGTTAATAAAGAAAATAGATTTACATTGTATTTATATATATCCTCTTCAGAATCATTTTCTTAACACATATATGCCATGGACTGTAGTTAAAGACCGCGCATATACAAAATATACATTCAAATTCTTATTGTTTTTGAAGATTGAGTGTTGCAATTATCACATGTAACCTGGTAATGAAAGTTTGGAAATAAAGTTTTTTAATTATCACTTACCCCCCTTCAAAAGTAATTAAACTTGAAAGAAATTTAAGCGATGTGTAAAAAATAATCAACAGTTACTTTTAATTCGCAAAATACTGACTCAAACTGTAAAGATTTTTATTGTTTTTCTAGCGTTACATTAAAAAGTATCATAAATATCTTTCTACAGGCATTCAAATAAAAAGAATAATTAAAATATACTGATTAAAATATACGAGTGACATTAAAAAGGCCGGAATCGAGACAGCCACACGAGAGAACTTTACTGTTACGATGATCTGCACCGACATTTGAAAACAGATTTACAAAAAATAATAATGATATAAATGATGAATGAAATTTAAATATTCTATGAATATGGCAATATTGACAATCTCGGCAATATTTTGTACTAAAAATAAATAAATTTTCTTCACGTGTAAAGGCCGCAATACAATACCCGTAAAACAATTGTGCGTTAATAAATTTGACTACATAACCCAATAAATCTTAAATATTGCATCTTTGATCATCTGTGAATAACTTACATCGGCTTCTTTTTTATTTTGAATCTGAAAGTATTATGGTACCGTAATAATAAATTTCAAATACCTATTTTTTATATAAAAAATGTAAATTTACCGCGGATTTCGTCAAGTTAATTTTTTAACCGTCGTTGCGGACAGATAAACTGTATCTTTAAAAAATAAATTAGATATTTGAATTAAACAAGTATTTTTCTTCAAAATAAACTTTAAATTTCCAAAATCGGATAATAAATGCAAAAGTTATATGGTATTTTGTAAAGTAGGTATCCGTTGCGAACGGACATTTACGCTTAGCGCCGGTAAATTATCGATCGATGTACCTTTATCGGGCGCACGACAAGATATTAAAGCATTTATATAGGGTTAACTGGGAGTGTCCGATCCCTGTAATATAAATCCGTGGTTTAAACAAATTATGATCAGATTTTACCAAAGGGACTCGGCACAGTGTTACTTAGGATAGTGTAAAAAAGTAATTCTAGAAAAAATATGTATTTAACATTTTCTACATAAATAATTGTTAAACACAAAAATAAAAAAAATGAGGGGTGAACTGGTGAAGTGTCTCAATCAAATTTCTTAAAATGAGGTGTGAAGTGTCTTTAAGCCATAGGGGTAGCACCTAATTTCATATTTATAATCGTCAAGTGTTCTGAGTGAAAACGGAAGCAGTGTTTGTATACCGAATGACGCTTTTAAAATGGAAAAAATAAAAGGAATTTTTTAATGACTTCCCTGCCTAATAATTTTCATATTATTTTATACCGAATCCGGGTCAGCTCGGCCCTAAAACGTACTCGGCCCCCGAGTCAGCTCGGCCCTATTCCAACTCGGCACGGGTCAACTCGGCCCACTTTTCAATTATTAATATTTAGGTTTGTGTTATCACTATTTATTGTAATTATTGCAACTATTTATTCTTTTTTTATGATAATCTTAATTATAAGCTTTTGACAATTACAAACAAATTAAATGAAATTGGTAAAATAAATTAAAGGGACTCCTATTGTCACGGGCTATTATTATCAATCAGTGAACACGTATGTTAAGGATACCGATTAATTAGGTGATAATTATGATTGACGCATTCATTTAAATTTGATTAGTGACCACGTGCAATTAATTTGAAGCTTATGATATTAAGTAAACACGTTTTTGTTTCATATTTTTTTGAATATTACTTTACAAACAAAATGCATCTAAGGAAACACATTTTTATTAGATCTTTATTAATTTTATAGAATCTGAAAGACAAATAAATAACAATTTTTATGTAAATATACTTTATTTCGGCAAAAGTACAATGCATAATTATATGATAATAAGAAATTTCTTATCATTCATTTACCTTAACAACATGCAAAGCAAAGTTAATACGTTATATATATTTTTTGTAAAGTGGGCCGAGTTGACCCGTGCCGAGTTGACCCGTGCCGAGTTGGTATAGGGCCGAGTTGACTCTTTTCCTTTTATACCTATGATTCTCCCAACTTTATTTGAGGGAACTGACAAAGTTCTCGTATCTCCATCCCCACCAACATCATTTTGACTTCTGTTAAAATTGCTTCTGTTTGATCTATCATCTCTATCAAGTCCTCGAGGTTTAAAATTTGTCTCGGAAAAACCATCCCTGTTATTCATTTTCAGAACACCTCGACCAAAACCTCTGCTTCCGCGAGAATCGTTTCTTTCATTATTCCACTGATTACCGCTATCTCTACTAGCACCATTCTGTTGTGTAGCAATTCCAAATCTGTTCTGATTATCAGAATATTGGTGTCCGTTACTTATCTCATCATCCCAGTCTTCTTCCATATTTTTTTTTCGAAAATCAGAAAAATAAAATTTCCCTCACATGGAAGACTTTAAAAGCTAGTAGTTACCGTAGTTTCGAATCCATTTTTGGTATGTTTATTATAATACAATACATTCAAAATATGTTAAAAGTCAAAATTATTTATTTGCAGTGATAAATCAATTAAATAAAATCAAATTCAAACTGAAATCTAAATATTCATAAATGCGAAAATACTTTATAAACAACTAGCATAACTATATTCCGTTGCAAAATTATAGTACTAAATGCCGTACCAGTACGGTATCCAACAGGAAAGCACGAGAAACGTGATTTTGGTGGGAAGCAACTTTGAGACGATTTATTATATGCTTGAAACTGGAGATGTTGATAAAGCTATAAAGCATGCATGCTCATAAAGTGGTTCTTAAATGTTACTTATCTTGAGATAGAAGGTGTGATATGGGACATGGTATGAACGGAACAGCAACTGAGGAAAAGCGTCGCAATAATTGAGCCGCGTCACGACAAAACCAACATAATGGGTTTGCGTCCAGCATGGGTCGAGACCAGCCTGCGCATCCGCGCAGTCTGATCAGGAGCCATGCTGTTCGCTATCAGTTTCTCTACTTGTATTAGGGTTGGTAAGCGAACAGCATGGATCCATGTATGTTTTTTATTAACTCGAAATTTCGAGTTACTAAGTCGTAATTTCGAGAGATAAGTAAGTCGAAATTTCGAGTTAGTAACTCGAAATTTCGAGTTAATAAAAAACATACACCTGGCACTAATGCTCTTCCGTAGTAACGGGGTAGATGATATCTGTTTTTTTTTTCTATCAAGAGGAATACAGTTTCTGGTTGGCAACAGTAGACCAGTTCAAAATGCCTTATCAGAAACACTGACAAGTGGCAGTCTACGCACAAGGGTTAGCAGATGTACTGTTTGCCTTGAATAATAAGATGTATAAGATGAATAATAAGATCTAGTTCTTGAATAATTATTTATCTGCTGTACATAGAAATGTAAAATCGGACACCAACACCATTTATATATACATGTAATTCTTTCGTGGTTTTAATTGAAAAATATACAAAAAGTAAAAAACAAAAAATAAAAAAATAACGATGATTCATAATAGATTATACTTATTTCAAGTAACCATACTCCATGCCCCACTTTGTCGTTATTCATCGACTAAGGTTTTTTAAAATCATTAATAAAGAAATAAGTAAAACCGGTTAACAAATAATGAAACTTTGACCTGATTCAAATATTTTTATTCTTTCTTTTCGAAATCAAGTCCACAACATTATAAACTTGAAACATTGTTAAAAAAACAAAACCCAAAAAAAAACTAACAAACAAACAAACAAAAAAACAAAAACAAAAAAAAACTGAAACATAACCATTAAAAAATTATGACAATGACCCCTTGTTTCCGATGAAATAAAAAGTTTCCCAAGCAAGCATAATGCAGCACCATATCTCGCCGTCTCAGGGCACCGCCCGTTGTGCTGTTTCAGGGTTTATGCTCGGTATCTTCCTGGGTACATTTGCAGCAAGGTTTTGTGTGGCTGTATTTCGTTATGCTGCGATCGTCTTTGAACGACGCTTTGTCTCCCTGTGTGTAGAGTCTAAAACAAAACATAATCTTCTCTGAGTGTACTCACATAATGTTCACTTTACATTTCAAAAGAGTCTGTACAGCAATTATCAGTACTAGTATTTCAAACCTTTAAATAATTTCAGCATAATATATCTTTAAACTTAATCCAGTTATGCGTAAACCTTTCGTTTTGCTGGACAAAGAATCGGCACATTTCCTGGACACAAGTTTTGATATGGTGCTGTAACCATTAAACCATCAGAACAAATTTGCATAACTTTAGTATCATAATTATGCAAGCACTGTGAAATAATATTAATCGTCTTACTGAATGTGCTATATTTAATATTTCTATCGTGTGTGCTGAAACGATAATTTAACCCATTACGTTATAAACACGCCTTTTAACGCCTTTTCACCCCCCTTTTTGTTGTCTCAAATGGTGAAAAAATGCCTGTTTGGGGGGGGGTTTGTGGGGGGGGGGGCGGGGTCCCCCTCATCGCCAAGAAAATTTTGGACTTGTGAGAGGCTATAAATGACCCCAGATTGATCATAAGGTAACGTGTAACCAACGCTGAAAAGCATTTGACTCTATCTCAATCCATTGAGAAGTTGCAGCACTTTGAAATCAATTTTGATGGAAAAAATCAACGCAAAATAGTGATTTTTGGCAATTTTAGATGTCCCCTCGTTGCCATGGTAACAGAAAATTTAAGCCTGAGCATGTTGTTGCAAGGGCAATGGTCCAGTCAACATTTGTGCCAAGTTTGATTAGTATTGAAGCAGTTTTGATAGTATCATAGCAATTTGAACTTGTAACGGGAGACTTTTCAATGAAAACAGCCATTTTTCACAAAATGCTCATGAAGTAATGGGTTAAAAGTTCCATGATCGTCAATAAAATTATAACACTGTAGACTTTGGATTCTTTCATGTGAGGAAGTAATCCATCTCGCTTACAGAATATTGGTGATCCAACTCGGGTGCTTGTTCGTGCCTGAAATAATGCATAGAGGGACACCTGGGGGTCTTCCGGCATCAGTAAAATTGGAAAGTCACCATAGGATATCTACTGTGTCGGTGCGACGTAAAACCCGACCAAAAACTTACATCAAAATGCAGAGAAAGTAAAGAAAATTGACGATTTAACTCAAAGAATTGAGTAGGATTTTTGTCTACTGGTTACAAGGCTATAATTGGTATTTTGCGGAACAAAAACGGAACAAGGTTTGTGGCACACTAGCTAGCTATGGGGTATAACTGCAATTTTACAAAATACGGTTTGAAAATTTTGAATCTTCAGTAATGAATAAAAGGTTATTAAGCAAAATACCAATAGGCGGTTATAAATTAAGAGACATTGTCCTGCATGGTAATAATTAATGACTGGCCATGCTTAACATTTGTCGTTTTTAGCTCACCTGTCACAAAGTGACAGGGTGAGCTTTTGTGATCGCTTTTCGTCCGGCGTCCGTCCGTCCGTAAACTTTTACTTTAAATGACATCTGCTCATAAACCATGAAGCCAATTTCATTCAAACTTCACAGGAATGTTCCTTTGGTGGTCACCTTTAAAAATTGTTCAAAATTGTTAAATTCCATGCAGAACTCTGGTTTGCCATGGCAACCGATAGAAAAAACTTAAAATATCTTCTTTTAAAAAACCCAAAGAGGAAGAGCTTAGATATTTGGCATGAAACATCTTCTAGTGAGTGTCTATCAAGTTTGTTAAAAATAAAAGCCCTGGGGTCAAAACTGGCCCCGCCCCAGGGGGTCATTGATTTTCCCTATATGCATATAGTAAAACCTTAAAAAATTTTCTTTTAAAGAACCCAAAGAGCTAGAGCTAACATAATTAGCATGAAACATATTCTAATGGGTGTCTACCAAGCTTGTTCAAATAAAAGCCCTGGGGTCAAAATTGGCCCCGCCCCAGGGGGTCATTGATTTTCCCTATATGCATATAGTAAGAACTTAAAAAATCTTGTTGTAAAGAACCCAAAGAGCTAGAGCTAAGATATTTAGGATGAAACATGTTCTAATGGCTGTCTACCAAATTTGTTCAAATAAGAGCCCTGGTATCATTGATTTTCCTTATATATATGTGTATAGCAAAAACTTAAAAATTCTTCTTTGAAAAAACCCTTAGAGCCAGAGCTACGATATTTAGCATAAAACATGTTCTAATGGGTGTTTACCAAATTTGTTCAAAAAAGAGCGCTGGGGTCAAAATTGGCCCCGCCTCGGGGGCATTGATTTTCCTTATATGTGTATAGCAAAACATAAAAGTTCTTCTTTGAAAAAATCCAAATAGCTAGAGTTTAGATCTTCAGCATGAAACATCTTCTAGTGAGTGTCTACAAAGTTTGTTCAAATAAAAGCTGTTCTGAAAGTCAAATGGAGAAATGATTTACAGAATGGTATACGGCATGATGTATTTACCTATTTTCTTAGGGGCTAAATGTTAATCAAAATGTCAAGATTTAAGAAAAAAGTACCAGGAAATGTACTATAGGCGCTTTTGTCCGAGTGGATGACATTAATTAAGTTTATAATATAAATAGTTGTTCATTACAAATGTATTATTGAACCTTCGAAAAAAGAAAGAACTTGTTTTTTTTAATTGGGTAGTATTTGATGTTTATTTGTTTTAGTCGGACATGGAAGTGGGTGTGGTCTACTGATACACACTGGCTGTTAAAATAGCAATGCGCTGGCCAACGTGTAGGAGATTATTGATCGTGCTTAATCAAGCTATCCATTGATAATTTTACAACATCAAAAATCAAAATTCGCAGAAGGGAAAAAAATGTTTCTGGACTACATCTAGGCACTTAGGATCCATGCCAAGGTTAGCAATTTACTGCATTTTAACTAATATCTGATATGTGGCGACATGATCGAGTGGTTTTACGTGCCGAAATAGTGATCTAGGGATTGCGGGTCGCGTGGGTTAAAAACCCCGTAAAAAACAAGCAATTGTTTCATAACTTAGTATTGGCTGGTTCCAGGAACGGATTCGAGAGTGTTTCAATAAGCTTCCGACACAATCGAACTGAAATAAATTCGTAAGAAACTAACTGATATCGATCTACCTGTTGCCAATGATTAAAATGAATAATACCCCGGTATGTTTATATGCAAAAAAAGAAGAAAAAAAGAACATTTCATACTTTTTCCAATTTATCATTCAAAAATAAAATAAATATTATTAAATATACCTGTCTTATCTATCATTAAAATTCATTTCTAATTCAATATTTCAATTACTTCAATACCGCCTAAAATGCTGACAGTTCTATTTTACAAAGGCTTTTTATTTTAAGTGTCCAGTGACTCATTTGCTCCGTATACCCGAGCCATCTTTGCTACACCAGTACGTTCATTCATATTGTTTATGGAAGTCAAATTATAACTTGGTTTACATTTTGCAGTCTTCATCACAAATTATTTCACCTTCACCTCCTGGTCATTTGCATCTCACATGTCGTAAATCCATTATAAAATATAACAAAACATCTCTTTACCCTTTCTATATAAGGAACAAATATTCATTTCTATGTGCTTCGAAGCATGTATTTTTAAGTTCAAATGATGCACCGTTTTCTTTCATCAAGAAGTATTTTTGCTGTGTCAAGTTTCACAAATATTTCTTATGATTTAGAATTTACACACACTTTTACTTGTACAACTTTCGAAAATACAAATGTTTCTGCAGCATTCAAATATTATATGAATTCCTTTAAAAAACTAGAAAAAAAAAAGAATAAAAAAAAGAAAAAAAAAGAAAATAACAACAACAGAAACACCAGTGCTCCTTCAACACCGAGATAGAAATCGCCGGCAAAACTTTTACAAGTTAAGTTCGAGTTGTTGACAAATGCACATTTTGCCTTTCTTCACGTTATGTCTATTATATGGCGCATCTGGTAAGAAATCAAAGTCGTCTGCCAGCATAGAAAAACTTTGCGACAAATGCCTTTCAATCAACAAATCTGCATACATCTAAAATATAACCATATTTCATTATTATTATTTTTATTATTATCATTATTACTATTATTATTATTTATTTATTCTTATTATACGTCTGTAAAAGACAAAAATGAAAGAAGAAATATAAAAGCAAGTTTGTATTATAAAAGCTGCCATGATAAGAAGTGGACAGAACATGTTTAAGGTAGAAACACTTACAATATCCCTAAATTGTGATGGAACCTTATTATACAATTATAGTGTCCGTAACTTTGAATTATCCATTAGTTACTTTTTCATTTGAGATTCATATGGTCATGACCTTTTCTCTATGTTTAATAGGGCTCGAAGTCTCGATTCCTGTGTTGTTAACACTGGGTAGCCACTCAACCTTATTCCCTAAATTTAAATAACTTACATTTCTTGTAACTATAATAATAATGTTTCATAATGTAAAATTCTGTTGTTAAGCCGTATAATTAGAGTGTATAAATACGGTTGTCGGATGTGTTTAACAGAAATGTTTATGATTACAAAATAAATAACCGGATCTCTATATGTTCATCATAACCAAGATATATGTTAGCTACCGTATTCCTAGAAATTTTCGCGGATACAATATTTCGCATTATTCATACGGATGACAATTTTTCACGCAATTAAAGAAACCGCGAATTATGTCACGTAGTAAACAATATCATCATGACTTCACGTAAACTAGAAATATATACGGTCTGTTTTCGCAGCATGAACATGGTGTGATTAAAAACCATTTTACCTCGGGCGTTAATGTCCGATCAACTGGAGTAATGTTCCTTCTCCTGATGATTCCAACGAAGTACTCCTGAAAGAGGGATGACAAAAAGTCAAAAGCCAAATCTCAAAATTAGTAAAGTACACGAGCAAAATAGAAATATGAAAATTAATATAAGTAGATTTATCCCAAATAAAAATAATAAGCTATAAATAAGTAAATATTCTTCCAGAAATAAGAGACATATTGCTTCAAAGGCGCATTATACCCCCAGAACATATAACGAATGTTATAACACTCGTTTCTATGCTCTAGAAAAAGAAAAGGGTTATTTTCAAAGGTTTAAATAATGGTTTAGAGCATGCAAGATGATTGTAACGTGAAGAAATAAGCGATAAATTAGAAATAATTTGTCATAAAAGTAGCAACCTGCAAACAAAGTAGTATTTTGACTTCTGTACAAAATACTAAATCACTGCAACTGTACTTATTGTAAAAAAATAACTAGAGATAAAAAAAGATGGTTAAGCAATTGAATAATGAGTAACGTTTATGAAACTACTTCAAAAATACACTGAAAATAACAAGCTCTTGAGAAAATAAAAGCATTGCCGCGACAAAAGTCTCCTGTAAAGAACAATATCTTTGTAATTGTATTTCACACTACAGATTTTGAATGACGGATATTATAACACTCGTTCCTATGTAAAACAAAAAAATAATGTTGTCCTCACAAATTGTTTTTTTCCCTTACCTTTCATATAAAAGTCTGATATTTGGCATAATAAAAAAGCACAACAATAAGAGTTATCATTAATAATATGGTAAACGAGCTCCAGAGAGTGAAAAAAGCCTAAAAACCTTACATTTGAAATAATGTTTGATTTTTAACATAACAGAAAAATAACGTTTGATTTTTGACATAACAGAAAAAAGCAAAACAATAATAGTTCTCATTAATAATATGGTAAACGAGCGCCACAGAGCGAAAAAAGCCTAAAAACCTTACATTTGAAATAATGTTTGATTTTTAACATAACAGAAAAATAACGTTTGATTTTTGACATAACAGAAAAAAGCAAAACAATAATAGTTCTCATTAATAATATGCATGGTAAACGAGCGCCACAGAGCGAAAAAAGCCTAAAAACCTTACATTTGAAATAATGTTTGATTTTTAACATAACAGAAAAATAACGTTTGATTTTTGACATAACAGAAAAAAGCAAAACAATAATAGTTCTCATTAATAATATGCATGGTAAACGAGCGCCACAGAGCGAAAAAAGCCTAAAAACCTTACATTTGAAATAATGTTTGATTTTTAACATAACAGAAAAATAACGTTTGATTTTTGACATAACAGAAAAAAGCAAAACAATAATAGTTCTCATTAATAATATGCATGGTAAACGAGCGCCACAGAGCGAAAAAAGCCTAAAAACCTTACATTTAAAATTGTTATACAGGGATTAAGAGTGGCACTTAAAATGCAAAATTCTGCAAACGATAATAAAAAAATAATCGAAATTGAACTGGAAATCTATATTTGCGAACCTTAATAAAGATGTCAATAAAGGCATTTCATTGCTGTTCAATTTAGGGTCATTTTACACAATAAAATAATTAATTATTCTGGAAAAAATGAGTGCGGGAATTATCTGAAAGGTTGCAAAAAAGTTATCGTTCCACACCTATATCAAATACAATTCTCGTAAAATATTTCCAGTCCCGACATTTCAAAAAAACCTAAATTGAGTCCATTTAAATGAATATTTGTTAATCGAATTAAACGTCAATAAACAAAATAATCTCACCTTACACCGTGCAACATTATATCTCATTACAAGGAGATGAATACAGTCAAGGAATACAAGTAATTTCTTACAGTTAAATAAAAAATGTGCTTTTTTTACTAAATGTTGCTGGCTATATAATTTGAAAGTTGTTTAAGATATCACATTCCGGTACTTATCACACAATTAGTTTAAAGGTTTGTCAGGGGAAATATAAAATTCGTTTATTGTTATTTATTGTTTTCAAAGGATACAGATGGTTTGCTCTTTCGTCTTCCGGTAAATAATAGTAGAACATTATTTTCAATACATTCTGCACCAACTTTACGCCACAATTTTGCTTGTACAGACAGGTCCCGCTGAAATAATCACCTTCAATCATGAAATATTAATCATATTTTAGTTAAAATTTGAATCTAAAAACTGGAAAAAGTAGGTATTTTTATTTTAGTGATATACATTCACATATTTAATCAAAGAAAGAACACTGCTGACTGTTGTTGTTTTTTTTTACCACCTTTTTCTCAAACTCACCCACTTTATGCGTCAAAATGGATAAATGTTTACTTATTTACAAAGGGCAAAGAAGAGTTTAATGTTTGAGTATGTAAGATGCTTGTTTCATGCAGAAAAAATAAGCGCTAAATGTGAAATTTTCAATACAAAATGCTAAATTACTATAACTGTATTAATGGCCGAATAGATGGTTAAGGTGACTTGCCAATGATTTTTTTTAATGATTAAAGGTACACCAGAAAGAAAAGGATTTTGAAAAATAGAAATAAAAGCATTTTGGTGAAAGACACAACAGATTCATAATTCCATAACGTACAGTAACGTGTTTCATGTGTGTAAATGAAACCTAAAATAAATGTTGCAAGTTTTGTTTTATGAGCCTGTTCCTAGACGGTAATAGTAATTGCAACATACAGTCCACGCCCCCTAGCACCGGCTTACGCAGAATTCAACATAAGCATGAGAATAATTAAATTTTGAATTTAGAAACACCTGCAGATATGTTCAAACGGCGGTTATCACAAAATTAAAAAGCAGGCCCCATAATCTAAGGGTGATTTGATACAATTAAAACTCACCCACCTTCTTGCTACGACAACACGTTGGTAAGCAGCATACAACGATTTGTATGACAATAAATGTGCTTATCATGATTGAGATCACCATTGAATAAAAATTGGCAGACACGAGTTTCGCGTTCCTTCCTCTTGTCGCTGTATTTAGAATCCATGAACTGTGAGCGGTCAGAAATATCAAGACATAAAGTGGTACCAGAAAATACGTCCAGCAACAGTTTTTCCATCGGCTAAAGTAATCGTAAGAGCACATAATCAGATCTTTGTTTATGATGTCGACTGTCGTTTTCAACAGCTGTTCTGGTACCTGAAATAGGGCTTAAATCTTTATTTGAGCCGTGTCACGACAAAACCAACATAATGGGTTTGTGACCAGTATATGGATCCAGACCCGCCTGCGCATCCGCGCAGTCTGATCAGGATCCATGCTGTTCGCTTACCAACCCTATTACAAGTAGAGAAACTGATAGCGAACAGCATGGATCCTGATCAGGCTGCGCGGATGCGCAGGCTTGTCTGGATCCATGCTGGTCGCAAACGCATTACGTTGGTTTTGTCGTGACACGGCTCATTTATGTATGTTTTCCTGAAACGATTTGCCACAATAAATTTCATGTTTTATAAAAGTACTTAATAAGATTATCAGAAAGAAATATGACAAAACTAAATTAAGTTGTTGCATTTGTTTTCTGCAGACCAAGGGCCAGTTCCTCAACTACATTGAGCGTAAAAGTATTTTTTTCCTGACGATATTTGTTTTATTGACATTGTATCTGATGTCATAAGGCGTGAAAGCATTCATTTATTATCCCGTGCATATATCGCCCTCTCTGTTATATGCGATAATAACGTGATATGTGTCAGACTTTGATTTTACCAATTCCTCAAGTTTTGTTAAATTTGAAATTTGTTGATCTTATTCTTTCAACATGATTGTTTTGAGACAAGATATTTGACTCAGACACCATTTTGCAAACTACCGAATGAGGATTTATGAAATTGGATGAATCTTTTTAAAAGCTGGTTAAAATAAAACAGGAGTGATAAGTTACACCCGGTTAGCTATCTTAACAAACGGTTAAATGTAACAAGAGCTTTGAGCAACTGGTCCCTGTACTGAAAATGATATGCATTTATTGGAATCATGTCTATTGTCTTTTATTGCTCTATAATTCAGGAATTTCTTCAGGAACAGCTCTTTGGATTGGACCATTTACATTAACATTGGAAGTGTTCATTATCAATTGTTTGGATATCAGCTTAGTTGAACTGTTCGAATGTATAGCGGTGCCAAAGCCTAATTTTTTTTTCGGCTTCAGCAGAAGGAGTGTAAAATGCATGCGAATATTGTAAGCTATATAGATAACGTACCCCAACCTTGTTTTCTTTCAGTTTTTGTATGAGATTACTATCAATTGAAAATCGGTATTTGGCAGGTCTGATGACTGTAAGCTTATCACGTTTAGCCGGAATGATAAAACAATATCCATTCTCGTCTGAAATGAAACGATTATTTATTCTTAAGCATATGTTTTGCCTTAAAGTTGCATAGACATGCCAACTTCTATTTAAGGTGTCCCTTTAACTTGTTTGTACGTTGTGGACTTTAATCAATTTTGTCATCCTTCACAATTTAAACCCCAAACAGTTAAAGAACACTCTCATTCCTGTAGCTTTTATTCTCAGAACTATCTTTACGCTTTTTATTTATAAAGGCAATACTATCCCTTACACTTTACCTTAGAGCTAGTCCTTTAACATTATATTTTAGAATAGTGAAAGATATGCTTTACATTTTACTTTAGAACGGTAGAACTAACTTTACATTATTATTTTAGACACTGGCGGATGATCACGTGACCCAAAATAGTAACAATGGCTCATAAAATGCGGTCGCTAAATGTCTCGTAACAGCAGTGAAATTGAGGTTAGCATACAGTTAACGTACAAATTATATTGTTAAAACTGGTCGGCCGCACGGAATCCCTGTATAAAAAGCCGACGTATTGTTTCTGATTATGGTTCTTTGTAGCCTCTCTGTATAGGCCTGAAAGTCGAAAAAAGTTGTTTGGGTGATGAGTACAATAGCCCGAATCAGGTACTAAAATACGTTGTTTTCAGTAGAGGAAACGCATTTAGAGCAAAATTAGCAATGACATCTTGTGCACAATCGGAAGTTTGTCCGTCAAGAACAATTAGCTATGGTCGGGAGTTACTGAGACACAGTTACAGCCGCTTATTAAACTACATAATTAATGTATAAAACGCATTCAGTCAATACCAGTAAATACAAGGACGGATATAGCCTGAGCTGTATCAGTATACAACCAATGGCCAATTTGATAGATAAACGAAAACTGTTATTATTTGGGCCAGCTCTGCCAGTTAGACACTAAAATTTCGAATAAAAGAAGTTTTTGTACATAGGTTATCGTCATTTATGCTCTTCCCAAGGAAAACAAAGGGATTCTTACCAGATATTTACATGATCCTAGGTAAATACAACCTTACAAGCTTCCTATATAACCTTTTATAATACAGGGGTATTCCCAAATCTTAGTTCCTGGAAAAGAATGGTCAAATCGACAATAAATAGTTCTATAGAGTTTGATTGGAAAAACCGTGTACTATGCGATCAAAGTTTGAAACATTCCTCCTTGTTCATCCCTGTTTTTGAACCATGTATTCTTTGGCACTTCAGTCGCAGTTATAGAAACCTACAGGCAGAGTGTACATCAACGTTTATTCTAATGTGCCGATATTTTTTCTAGGAAATATGATATGAGATGCAAAAGTTGTAACCTAATGACAAATGATATATGTAAACATATTCTATTGTTTTGCCCCTCAAATGAGTCAAAGAGGGCAAAGTTATGGGTTACATTATCAAAAATTATGGGCATAGAAACTTTTCAAAACCTAATTGCACTTTCCCCTGACCTGCAGATCATTGAAATGTTTCGTGGTTTTACATCTTTTTATCTAAGCGACGAGACTAGAGTGTATAGTTTCAAAGCTTTCATCAAATGTGTATATTCGATGAACTGGCTGTGAATGTGAAATATATATGTATTTGTTTAATTTCGTTATAAGTACATGTATTAACCATTGTTACAGGTACCTCTATATTGTACATCCTCCCAAGATACTTTTGTTTCGTTTCGATAAGGATCTTTAACAAGAGGATATATTGCTGAATACAATATTTCAAAATTTTCGTTTGCTTCCTCATATGTATATATTGTTTCTATGTTAAATAATTATTTACCTTATTTATATTATTAATCAATTGTGTGTTTATTCAATATTTGTTACATTAACCATTGTTACAGGCACATCTATATTGTATATCCTCCAAAGATACTTTTGTTTCGCTCCAATAAGAATCTTTAGCAAGAGGATACATTGCTGAAAACAATATTTCAAAATTTTCGTTTGCTTCCTCATATGTATATATTGTTTCTATGTTAAATAATTATTTACCTTATTTATATTATTTATCAATTGTGTGTTTATTCAATATTTGTTACATTTATATAATTATACATGTATTTATATGTTTGTCAGTCATACATTTATGTACATGTAATGATTTATGTACTTTTTTGTAAGAAATGTATTGTATATGTATGTACTCTTCAAAACTGGAGGAAATAAAGAAATAAAATTATTTTGGAAATAAAGTCAGGTTGTTTTTTGTTTTTGTATTTGTTGTTGTTGTATTTTTTGTATTTCAGACGCAGAAAAAGTGGTTCCTTTAAATGAAAAGCATGTTTACGTATATCTATGGAATATATACATGTAATGTATATATATGATTTTAAAAGTGTGCTTATATTACCGTTAAATACTTCATCACACCATATTAAGTAATTCAATATCTTTACAGGAATTGGAAATTTCTTATGTGTTTATTTGCCGGCATTATGGCAAATCGTATCGAAGACGATAGGCTTCATGTCGTCACGAGCAGTACACAAGGGGAAGGTATCCCATACATGCTGTGGGACATGGTTCCTAAGTTTCGGCAAATTGCAAAGACATTGGTTTGTAAATTGCATTTTGTACATGACGTTCATAGCTGTCTGATATTTCTACATACGGCTTGAGTGTCTAAGATTGAAATAACACAAAGAAATGGTTACATGTAAATAAAGAAAAACTATTAAGAAAAAAGAAATTAGATAAACCTGGAGCAATATATTGCCCCAATATCTGCTATAAGCAGCGACATACAATGTACCCTTTGTGTTGAGAAATGAACGCATTATATATGTTCCTAAATAGGTACAATTAAAGTACAAAATTTCTTATGAGGACAAATATTATGAAACCCGGTTATAATAGCTCCAACACCGTTAAACACAACATGGAAGCTATATTTACATCAATAAACTGATAGTATTTCTAAATTCTAATTTGTTTCAGTTGTTTCAGTGCAAAAACAAATAGGACCGAAACTGCATCAGTGGGAAGAATGTGGCAGTTCGTTTGCGACAAAATCTAAACTTGAGCAACACAAGTTATTCCATGCTAACCCACTCTAACTTGCAGCATCTGCCCAAAGCTTTTCGAACTAGGGCAATGCTGATTGATCTCCTTTCTTCCCATTCCGGTAAATAGAAACACAAATGTACATATGGAAGAGCCTACGTATATAGTCAGGGTTTGAGTAATCACTGATCAAAGTGTGTAATATCAAAGCAAACTCAGTGAAACTTTGTTTGTTCTAGTCATTGTCACAAAAGTGCCTCTTATTAGGTCATCAGACTTTGTTTTGGCCATATCATGATATTTTTGTCACGTGCAGAAACGTCAATAAAGTTTATTGAGTGAATAACTTGTGTTGCTTAATCAGATTTTGTCGCGAACTGACTGCCTGAAACGGTGTTGATCCGCCATGGTTGTTTGCTCTGAAACAACTGAAACACATTAGAATTTTAGAAATGCTATCAGATTACTGATGTAAATATGGCTTCCATGTTATGTTTAACGGTGTTGGAGCTATTATAAGAAATTTTGTACTTCAACTGAATCCTTTTAGGAACATATGTAATGCGTTCATTTCTCAACACACAAGGTACATTGTACACCGCTGCAAATAATGGGGCAATATATTGCTCCAGGATTACCTTATTTCGTTTTCTTAATACTTTTTTATGTAACCATTCATTTGTGTTCTTTCCATCTTTGCCACACAAAGATGTAGAGATATCAGACAGCTATGTACTTCTTGTATGATATGTAATTTACAGACCTATGTTTTTGCAATTTGCCGAAACTTAGAAACAATGTCCCACAATGTGCCTTCCCCTTGTGAACCTGCTCGTGACGACATGAAGCTGATCGTCTTCTATACGATTTGTCATAATGCCGATAAATAAACACATAAGAAATTTCCAATACCTGTAAAGATATTGAATTACTTAATATGGTGTGATGAACGATAATATATAAGCACAATTTTAAAATCTAATATATACATTACATGTATATTCCATAGGTATACGTAAACATGCTTTTCATTTAAAGGAACGCTTTTTCTGCGTCTGAAATACAAAAAAAAAAAAAAAAAACAACAAAAAAAAACCAAACAAAAAACAAAAAAACCTGACTTTATTTCCAAGACATATGTAATTGAAACATATATTTTGCTGGTGAAATAAATTCTATATAATGTTTGTATTTTATTTTTGTATTTTAAATATTCTTTACGCTGATGTACACGTGTGTTATCAAAGCAAAATACTATTAAGATGAGAATTTATAGTAAGCAAACTCAATTCATTTAATTAAATACTTCCTCCTACTTTTAACTTTCAAATATCATATTTGTCAAATTTCAAAGACAGGAAGCGAGAAACAAGCATAATTCAATGAAAAATTTGACAAAATAGGATAGGCAATAAAATTGTTCGGCCATTGTACTCATTAAATTTGGTTCGGCCATTGTACTCGTTTTTAAAAAGATGCACAACTTCGTTATGCAACTTTATAAACGATGGGAATTGTTCTGGACGGACAAACTTCCGATTGTGCACAAGATGTCATTGCTAACTTTGCTCAAAATGTGTTTCTTTTACCGAAAACAACGTATTTTAGTACCTGTTCGGCCATTGTACTCATCATCCAAAACAAATTTTCGATTTTCAGGCCTAAACAGAGAGAGCTACAAAGTAACCAATAACTGAACAATACGTGGTTTTTATACAGGGATTCCGTGCGGCCTAGTTTTACTAGTGTTAGAATGACCAAAGAGATTCACTGATTTTAATTTCTAATTTTAAAATGGCCAATGAAAATTCTTCTCATTCAGTCAAGAATGAATACCATCAGTCAAAGAAAAATAAGAACGTGCATGTTCTATAAGTAAAAGCATGGTGTTCGAATTAAATTAAAATTCTTGTTTTTGGTTATCATTCCATAAGACTTTTTATCAAACTATGGAATATGATGTAAATGATATGTTTATCGAAGTCAAATGGACGATTAATCCACCATTGTGTATCAATGCGCTATTCATGTAAAATGTATACATTGGCACAAATATGGAATATTTTTTTACTTACATTGTCGGGTTAACGTCCTGATGTTGAACATGGAAAATAGTCCATCATCTGTAGCTGAAAATGTACAAAATTAGTATCATAACATTTCTATAATGAAATGTACCCTTCTTAAAATAAATACGAAATAGGTTGCTCAAATTTAAAAGAACAGACGGTCAAATTGTGTTGCGTCAAAAATACAAAATAATACTCGCACGTGTTCATAACAACTTCTGTAGACAAACATATTCTGAAAGACAGAAATTTTGATTGTTGCGTATAATTGTTGCTCTGGAGAAACTAAGTTTTTTTGCGCCAAGTCTTACTTTTGGATAAATAAATACTGTTGTTGAAATGGGATAATTGCTGCATAGAAAGGCTGCTTCGCACAAGTTGCACTGTATGTCTTTGTCAAATTGCTCACAGTAATTATCTCCCTTGCCAGATTGAGATCACAGCACAGGAGATTGTGTCCTTGCGTGAAATGTACTTTTTATTCGGTTTATAGAGAATGGGTAATGAATGACATGTTTCCGGAGGGCGAAAGTGAATTCGGAAGTAGACTATTACATATAAAATGAAATTATAAGTAAGCATACTTATACATAATTGTCATTATACATTATTTATACTAGTTATTACTTGAATGCATGTATTAGATACATAGCCGGGTTCCAAAATGATTTAACAATTGAACAAATGGGCGTTGTGTTGTTTGCACTTTAAGATAATGACTTCATGTGACAAAAACATAATTGTCTCTACAAATAATATAAACTTTAAAATTCATACTTGTGTGCTTTTCTATAAAAACAATACATTGAATATATATATTATATATACCATGTAAATAAGTATTATTTACATGAGAGTATTTCTTTGGAAATGGAAGCGTTACTCTACTTTATATCGAGTAAAGTAGTTTTGACGTTCGAGAAAATGAATATAGTATACGTTTATAATTATAAATTATTTATGACATTCATGTTGAAATTTCGAATAGTTTATAGCTTATACATGTATATGATATAGTATCGTACGTTGTTATATCGAGAAAATAAGCATCCCTAAAGAATGTTAAAAAAACGGCAAAATTAAAAATGTTGCAGGCTCGGTTTAATTGAGCCTATTCATGGACGGTACTACTGTCCGCGCCCCTAGCACCGGGCCGGCTCAAGCAGATTCCAACATTTAAACATGAAATGGTAAGCCAATTCCTAACTAGACAAAACAGATATATTTATGACACTTAAAACTTGTTGAAACGCTTTGAAGCCGGTAAAGAACGAGCTAGATGTCTGATCAAAGTTCATGATATCCCTCAAATATTCAATGGACTGTTCTAAATTAAGATACACTATGCTTAAATTTGATATTAGTAAATATTGATAATTGCTACACAGTCTTTTTTGTAAATATTAAATAAGCATGTTCTGACTTCACAAAAAGTAGATATGTTATGTTTAAAATGCTACAAACTTTAGATGATCACAATATAAATATACAGTGTCATTCAAAAACTGGCATTTTTAAAGAAAGGACCAACTTTTCTTGACCTGTAATTTGGAACGCAGCTTCCCCTACATAGTTTATTCATTCTTTTATTCAAATTAGACATATTCTGTAAGAATTTCATAGATTTCAATAAATTTCTGTGATTAAAAGATTTTACACAAAGATGAGCATAGTACATCTTTAAGGTATTTGCAAATTTAAAACACAGCATGTGAAAGGTTTAATGAAATCAATATTATATTACAAGTTCATACCACGGCGTAGGAGAGACGCTGCAATTTTTGCTGGCACATCTAATCCCGGTATTGTTGCATCAATGTAAGTGAGCGTAACAAGTGTTGGTGGTATGTTACATTCATCCAGTAGTACAGGCACTAAACAACTATATCCACAGCCCATAGAACTTATAAATGCCGCATCGGTTTCATACTTACACCAGCCACTCTGCAGAAAGTTTGGTGTCAGGAAAATCAACACCTTCAATGATGACATCATTCCTTCACGTATATTAACAGTAATATCCTTACCGCCCTGAAAGTCCCGTTCATCAAATACACATTTCAGACCAAATCTCTTTTCCACCTCTTCAATCACTGAATAAACCCGTTCTTTGTCGGAACTGGAATAAGACACAAAGAAGTGCTTTGTCTTTCCTGCAGAGAGAGGTGGAATCTTTGCTATTAATTCCTGATCCTGAAAATGGTTCGAAGAATTCACTAAACTATTTTCCGTACTAGTATCCATCACTGAAAATTAACGATTGATGCTAAAAATAGATATTTAAAATCCCAGCATGCTTTTCATAAAGACTTACAATAATGGCGTGTTTGTTATATTTACTGTACGTTAGTTATTTAACAGGATATTTCCCCACTGTAACTGGCGTAAGTTAATGTTTTATCTAGAAAATTTATCTATTATATAATAATAATATTAAGCATTCATGAGATATTTAGAACTATAATTCATATCATTATATATTTATATTTTTAATTTTTTGTGGAATGTAAACTACGAGATATGTCAAGTAAATGTAATATAAAACATTAGTTGTTTGATCTAACTAGGGAATGAAAGTCTCAAAAGTCTCTTTGTTATCACACTGACACTCTTTGTTGTCATAGTTTTGCATTGAAAACATATCCTTTTAATCTGCTGGTTCAAAGTTGGACTAGTAATATAAATATTGCTGACCGCGTGTGATCAAACGCCGTCAGAAGCAAACCGTTGTTTCCTTCATCAAGAAACTTAATAATTAATTGCTTAGTACTGGTTGGTTCCAGAAACGGAGTGTTTCTATATATAATAAGCTTATACATGTAGCTTGCACATAATCAAACTAAAATAAATTCGTATTACTTAAATTTGATTCAATTATGCCATATATGTTTCTTGATTAAAGCTCTTTAATGATTTTAAAGCAGTTTTGGTGATCAAAACAATAGTAAGAATGTCCAGAACGGATACGGCATTTCGGTCCAACCTACGCTAAGAAACTGAACACGTAAAGAAATAGTAATTTAATGTTAGGAGTTGAAGATTAAATTCATACCGATATAATGGGTAAAAGCCCACCTAAATTAAGTAAATTTACAGATATAATAGTAAACAGTTAACCCTTAAAAATCCGACGCGCTGAAAATAAGTACGGAAACATTACCAAGTGCAATTTTGCTTAATATCAGGGACGTTTTAGAATCGAAATGATATATCCAAATCGGTGCCCTCGTGATATAATTCCTCGCATCCGAACTCCAAACAGTGATGTTATTGAGCGATAAAATCACTGTTTGGGATATATTATTTCTTAATTACACCCTGAGCTTTTGTTGAAGTGGTAGAATTTCTTTCAATCCATATTAAGTCCGAGGTTATTATTGATAATAGCCGAGATGTTCCGATTGAATCTGTGCCTCTTTAAAAAGCGGTAATCTTAACACATTACGATAATAATATAAACCATCCAGATTACATAAGAATGCAAACGTTCATTTATGTCTTCCATCATGACATAATTGAAAAAACATGGTCCTTCAGAATGTCATCTTGTGGGGTTTTAACCTGTAGGGGAATTTATGTATTGATTGCAAAACTTCGATAATTATTACTTGTTATTTCTTTTTTAGATACCGCGCACATTCAACGAAGTAGCTACAATTTTCTCATATCAAAACAAGACATGTCCAGCTGAAAAGCCTTTTATATTGAAAAACGGCACCCAGTCTATTTGTGTGTCATCATGTGGACCTACATTGGTGATAGATGGCAGAAATTGTATAAACGTTGGAGATTGTAAAAAGCCTGTTCTGTCTGATGGTAAATGCATGGAAATGTGCGACGAAGGATATCTTTATGTCACCAATAACTTTGAACTTGCCGATGACTGTAGCCGTTTTGGTAGTTGCTTTTATTCACAAAACAATATCGGACAGAAATTGTGTGAAAAGAGAAGTGATATTATTTTGAAAACAATCTGTTACGCTATAGGAACTGTACTGTATATTTTATTTCTTTTGATGTTCTTTTCGACTAGACAATGTCCATGCACAAAACTGGTGAGTAAATGGCTTTTTTCTCTCCAGGATTTCATTTCCACCCAGTTTTATCAACCATAACTTCATATTCGTTTCATGTTTGTACCCACTGCTCTCAAATAAGCTACCCTTTTGAAATATTTGAAATTTGTGAATTCATTAATGTGTTTCATCAACTGTTTTGGTCAGATGTGGACGCCTGAAATATCAGAATACTGTCTGAAAGATGATAAATCAAAATAGAGCAAGACTGCACTAACAGAAAATAATAAGTTGATAGCTTGATAAGCCGTATACAGCATAAGATTGTTATGAAATGACCATAGAAACAAGTGCATTCAATTATATTGTGTTTAACAGCACTTAAGCAAATGAAGATCAAACACCCCAGAAACTGATAAGTTTTATCATAGTCATAAGATTATTGATTATATTTACTGTTTTCTTCTGATTATTTTTCTAAAATGATACAGAAACAATTGTAACAATACAGTTATTCCAGCCCCTCATAATTGCGGGAACATCTGGATTGTCAAGGCCCCATTTTTCGAAGATAGTTAGGTGAAATACCGCTATTAACCACTGCAATTTGAACATATCTTCTACAACTTTGATGCCATTACAAAACCAAAACATAACCCTGTCAGTGCGGGAACAGACGAAAAATGAAAACACTGCTCGCCCTCCCTCCCGCTATACACTGTCTTTCCCCGCGATGGGTTGTTCATGTTTTTACTGACTGCTGCATTGCGCTTATTCGAATGTTCTAAAGGCACATAAATTTTATAAATAATTAACTTGCTGTGAAGCTTTGTGCTTATGATTATAAAAATCACCAAAATATATATGTGTCATTTTCTGTTCCAGATAACATGGATTAAAAGACAAGAATAACATGAAGAAGACCTCGTCACGTGAATTTTAGTATGCAATGGAGAACGTCGTAGATTACGGACTTTGTGAGGGTTAAGTTAAACAGATATGCTGCGCATAAATTTGTCAATTCATATTAAATTTATTGCATAAGATTATAGCGTGAATATGAAATATCAGTACAACTGTAATGAAATACATCATTAACAATAGATCTACTCGTTAATTCAAACAGATCTGTATGAAAAAAAATATCAAAGTTTGCCCGTCATTTTGGGAATATATATTCAGAAAAGTAATGTTCAATAACCGTTTCCAATCAGCGTTAAATGTCAATTTAAGATGTTGAAACTATCATGTGTAGACTATAATAAATAAATTAATTTCTAATTTTCTCATTTATTCCTTTATGTGTATGAAAGTTTGCGATAAAATAGAGAGAAACAGAAGCCTCCAAATAACATACAAAATAACAAAATTGAAAATAGCGAAAAAAAAATGCTCGTGTTTATAATCCGAATTAAATTTTTGAACAGTGCATATTTATTGTTCAAATATCACTTAATATTTTGTTTGTAATGTACCTTACAATTATGTAAAAAAAGGATATATATTTCTCAAAAACGTTTAGCAATCGTAACAGTCGCCAAATAAGAGCACAGCTGGTACTCCTGAAAGACTGGAATTTCTTGGTAAAATTGGCGTCAAATTAAAATATCAAACTCAATATGCGTTAAATGAAGATAGTATGTAATGATTGCTGCTCATATACTGCCTCTTCCATGTAAAAAACTGCATGTTTTACTAGAGTTTGACTTTTCTGCAAAATCTACTACAATGTCCTTGTAAATAAAAAATCGTCATTTTTGCTTAACGAATAATTATATATATGCATATCATAATGGTAACTTGTAGTAAAACTTCTAGAATTACTCGCATATACTCAATGTCACAAAACTCGCGTCATCTCGTATCGTAGCGACTTCTAAAATGTACTTCATTCTACGATTTAACTCTTACATATTTTCAATAGAAAGGTCTTCAAACTATGTACAAATTTATCTTGTATCATAGTTTGTAGACCTTTCTATTGAAAATGGGTCAGAGTTAAATCGTTTACCCACACATGCACAGTGCGTTAACTTGAGTGCATGTATTAGTTACCCGCACTCCAGTTAATTAACGCACTGTCGGGGATAATATGGAACATGCTCGTTGATTGCCTCAATTTCTCTGGGGTTTACTTACAGTGATGACAGGGAAAGGGATAACGATAGAAAGGCCATGTATTTAGATGCTCGTACATTGGTTACTTTTTTCTGGGGCTTCATACTGCGACGACAGAATACGTGTTTTATTTTTGCCTATGATACAAAAGAGAACGAACAACAAAACACCCGGCAATCTGATCGTACAAATCTCTTTCTATTACATAGGGAACGCATAAGGTATACAATCATTTGCAGACAGTCGCATAAAGTATTTAAAATTGTATGTTGTAAGAACGCCACACTTAGTCATTTATTTCATATATAAAATGGATTGTAACATTTAAATATAATAATAGGCCCATTATGTCCCAAAATACTTTTACTTTTATTTCTCAAAAGCTTTTTTGTTTACTTTCAAAGTTTCAAAAAATGTTACTCATTAGCAAATTACTTGGACCATATCTTTTACTTCCGTTGCTTATTGTCAATTAGTATAATCAGTTATTTAGTATTTATTATAGTTATAAAAATACTATTTTTGTTTACATTTTGCTACTTTCATGACAAAGAATTTTACATTAAGAGCTAGTTTCTTCAAGTAACAGGCTCCTAACATGCTCTTAACCTTTTACCTCATATATACGCGAAACAACGCACTTTCGACCCCCCATCTTTTATGCCTCAAATAGTGAAGAAAACGTACTTTTTGTGCCCCAAACACATATTTTCGTTTGAGAAATGTTGATAAAAAAGTGAGCATTTTTTCGGCGCCGCTCCCATCCAGAATATACATCAGGGGATTGCCAGAAGGGGGATTTGAAGGGAGCGGAGTCCCCCTCATCGCAAAGAAAAATTTGGACTTGTGAGAGGCTAAAAATGACTCCAGGTCGATCATAAGGTAACGTGTAACCTACGCTGAAAAGCCTTTGACTCTATCTGAATCAATTGAAAAGTTGCAGCACTTTGAAATCAATTTTAATGGAAAAAATCAATGCAAAATATTGCTTTTTGGCAATTTTGAGATGTCTCCTCGTTGCCATGGTAACAGGAAATTTAAGACTGAGCATGTTGTTACAAAGGCGATCCAGTCAACATTTGTGTCAAGTTTGATTAGTATTGAAGAAGTTTTTATAGTTTGATAGCAATTTGAACTTGTATCGGGAGACATTTAATGAAAACAGCCATTTTCACAAAATGCTCATGAAGTAATGGGTTAAACCTTTATAAACTTCTAAAGATGAGAAAGTCCATTCATTTCTGAGGCTTAGACATCATTTTCATTTTGGATTAATAAGTTTGGATAAACTAATAGTAGTTTTTTAAACAAAATAACATTGTCATTAGGCTAAGCCCTGTTGTAGTAGATAATTGAATTTGTGTACTTTCACATATTTATTGTTATTTTCGTCTTCCCAAAGAAATAAAGGTTCCAACGGCTTTGACAGTAGAAGAAAATACAACGTGAAAATGTCGTCTGTACAAGTAGTTTATTGAGTTATTTAACCAGCTATGTAACCAGCATATCTATTACATAACAAAGCATAACATAAATAATATTATCATCACTGTCTTAACCCATTACGTTATATACACGCCTTTCAACGCCTTTTTCTCCCCCCCCCCCACCTTTTTGTTGTCTCAAATGGGCAAAAAATGGCTTATTTAGGCCCCCAACACTTGTTTTTGTTTGAGAAATGTTGTTAAAAAGTGACTTCTTTTTCGGCGCGGCCCCAACCAAAAGATACATCAGGGGTTGCCAGAAGGGGGATGTGTGGATTGATAAGTTTTTGATAAACTAATAGTAGTTTTTAAACAAAATAACATTGTCATTAGCCTAAGCCCTGTTGTAGTAGATAATTTAATTTGTGTACTTTCACATATTTATTGTTATTTTCGTCTTCCAAAAGAAATAAAGGTTCCAACGACTTTGACAGAAGAAATTACAACGTGGAAATGTCGTCTGTACAAGTAGTTTATTGAGTTATTTAACCAGCTATATAACCAGCATATATATCACATAACAAAGCATAACATACATAATATTATCATCACTGTCTTAACCCATTACGTTATATACACGCCTTTCAACGCCTTTTTCTCCCCCCCCACCTTTTTGTTGTCTCAAATGGGCAAAAAATGGCTTATTTAGGCCCCCAACACTTGTTTTTGTTTGAGAAATGTTGTTAAAAAAGTGACCTCTTTTTCGGCGCGGCCCCCAACCAAAAGATACATCAGGGGGTTGCCAGAAGGGGGATGTGTGGCTTAATAAGTTTTTGATAAACTAATAGTAGTTTTTTTTAAACAAAATAACATTGTCATTAGGCTAAGCCCTGTTGTAGTAGATAATTGAATTTGTGTACTTTCACATATTTATTGTTATTTTCGTCTTCCCAAAGAAATAAAGGTTCTAACGGCTTTGACAGAAGAAGAAAATACAACGTGAAAATGTCGTCTGTACAAGTAGTTTATTGAGTTATTTAACACGCTATATAACCAGCATATATATCACATAACAAAGCATAACATACATAATATTATCATCACTGTCTTAACCAATTACGTTATATACACGCCTTTCAACGCCTTTTTCTCCCCCCCCCCACCTTTTTGTTGTCTCAAATGGGCAAAAAATGGCTTATTTAGGCCCCCAACACTTGTTTTTGTTTGAGAAATGTTGTTAAAAAAGTGACCTCTTTTTCGGCGCGGCCCCAACCAAAAGATACATCAGGGGGTTGCCAGAAGGGGGATGTGCCGTCTTCTGTTTGAGGGGTTTGAAGGGGGGCTGAGTCCCCCTCATCGCCAAGAAAATTTTGGACTTTTGAGAGGCTATAAATGACCCCAGATTGATCATAAGATAACGTGTAAGCAACGCTGAAAAGCATTTGACTCTATCTCAATCCATTGAGAAATTGCAGCACTTTGAAACCAATTTTGATGGAAAAAGTCAACGCAAAATATTGATTTTTGGCAATTTTAAGATGTCCCCTCGTTGCCATGGTAACAGAAAATTTAAGCCTGAGCATGTTGCTGCAAGGGCAATAGTCCAGTCAACATTTGTGCCAAGTCTGGTTACTGTTGAAGCACTTTTTATAGTTTTATAGCAATTTGAACTTGTAACGGGAGACTTTTCAATGAAAACAGCCATTTTTCACAAAATGCTCATGAAGTAATGGGTTAAGCTTATAACAGGCCCATTATGTCCCAGAAATGCTATCAGTTTTATTTCTCAAAAAACTTTCTTTTTTGATTTCTTGTTACAGTTTCGAAAAAATATCTATTTGCCATAATTTATAAATTCATAATCTTTGCTTCTTTTTCTCTCTGAGCAATTGTATATAGTCATAGTGAATTAGTATTTAGCTATAAGTCATGGTGAATTAGTATTTTGCTATATTTACGACTAATTACTGCACATTTAACGTTACTGTTTTCAGCTGTTAAACATCTAAAATATTTAAAAAGTAAAAATAATTTACAAAATTAACACAGTCAAAAACTTAAAACTAACACAGACACCCATTATTAAAAACATAACTATTGAAGCATTATTTAACCCATGTTTAACATTTCTAAAGAATTTAATAAAGTTCCATGTTTCGCATAGCGTTACTGTTTACATTTTAAATTGAAAAATATAAAAAACAAATATAATCAGGTGGTTTTCATATTCTTTCAATCATATCTGAAATGAGTTAACACAAAAAAGTGTTCACTATGCTATTATAAACACATAAATTATAAAAAAGAACATAATAAAAGATCCCGCTGTGATTTTTTAAATAGGTTTAACATGCATTTTCTAATACCCATTCAGAAATTTACAAGTAGAATTTCTTTCAGTTTAAACACTTTGGGATCTTTTTATCAAGATACAAACAAAATATGTTGCAAATTAGTGACAGTCTAATATACAAATAATGTAGCTTTATACCCTTTACGGTAAACTATTATAATTCGGTGTATCATCATCTGTATTGATATTTAGCAGTCTTTCACGTTCTCCAGTTTGTGTTTTACAGCAGACGAAGGTTTTCTGTAAGACAAAAACATGTACATTTACTAGACAACAGACGATAGTTAAAACACTGACCAAAGTCGCATTTATATACATTTTATAAGTATTGGAAATTAACTTAAAACAATGCATTATTTTCTGGTGAGATAATACTTCGTTTTTATGAAAGTACAAATATATCACATTGTAACGTTAAATTAAGTTAAGCAACCCAATTTAACGCAACGACGAATGTATGTCAATTAATCTAGATTTCATCATTAAATAGGATAAAAAGAAATCATAATTATAAATGACCAACTTAATTGCTTTTTTCAGCACAGGAATAAACATAGCAGCGAGATTTCCATGGTAACAAAAAAAAATACAATCACATCGTATCTGATTTTGCATGTAAATGAAAGCTCTTTTGCATCTACATATCCTACCACACGCAATAATTTTTCACATTTATAAATAAGTTAATAGAAAGGAAGTTAGGCAAATGTTACGCTTGTTTTCCAATCCATATGTATATTGTGATGAAAAATGATACATGCTTGTAAATTTGCAAAATATGTTTTAACTAAATAGGTTAGTGTTTAGATTTGTTGATTAAATATGTAGCACACAATCTTTTAATGGTTTTCGGTCTAGAGTTATACAAAGAAAGAATTATTACTGAAAAGAAACCATAAAATGTCATACCAGTTTTTCCATAGAATACTTGTTTGTATATTTGCTGAATAAATATGTTTAAACTAAAAATGTTAGTGTCTAGATTTGTTGCATACAATCGTTTGTGTGAGTTTTTTTGTGTAGTGTAACAAAGAAATGTTATTAAAATATTTAAAATGTCATACCAATTTTTCCAAAGAATACTTGTTTGTTGATAGAAACATCTTTACGAACACAATGTAAACACAATTCAAGATAGCAATCAAACCTATGAGAACATAAAACGTATTTTTATTGTAACACGGATTTTGATCAATATCTGCTAATGTATAATGGTAACCTTGGTAGTCATCAAAGTCATCATTCATCGTAAAATAGATGTAGCCAACAGGACTTCGCTGCATACATCGTCTATTTGACAGAACCGGAAATCTACATTCAGTAATATTTATACAATCTGACCCGTTTAAAACCTGTCCAGATTTACAAGGTGTTACGTCCGTTCCAGTATGTAGCATGGAACTTTCATTTTTGTTTATATCAGCACATAATACCTGAAAAACAGATAAGTATCATAATAAAAATTCCTTGCAAATATTAAATTCTAAAACACGAGTTATTGTCAATATCAAACAGAATGCACTTACTTTTTGTCATAAATTACCATATAACTTGTAGAATAATTTGTTAATATTAACTATATCAAAGGTTAGCTTTGATACTGTATTATTATTTATAAAGATAACAATATCAAACATAATTTCGATTATGAATATACTTACTTGTACTTGATTTATCGCAAATGAATAAATAATGCACAGAGAGTAGTATTTGATTTCCATTTCGATATAAAAAATAATCGAAAGTCAAAGGTGCGTTTTCCAACTTTTGTTTACATTTATAAACTGAATGGCATGGGTTACAAGGTAAATAACACTCGATATTTAATTATTGAAACTCGTATTGTTTAATGTTTAGTTTAGATAAACACGTTCTATAGACATAATCTATTGTTTGAAGATATATGAATTATTGAATAACAATTAAAAAACAATGGCGGATTTGAATAACGAAATGAATCGGAATTTGAGACACAAGTGCTTGAATTTACCAACAGGAAAGAAGTATTATTTTTATATCGTAGCTGCCGAGGACGATCGTGAACAAGTTGAGGAAATTATCATCTTACTAAAAGAACGTTTCCACTTGAAATGTTTATATGATGTAGTTAGTTGATTGTTACCCTGGTGTGGACAAGTTTAATTTCATGAAAGCGGGAATGAAAGAGTCAGTAAAAATTGTATTATTTCTGTCATAGCGCTTTACAAACGACGAATGGTGTAGTTATCAACAAAAGATTGCTTTAGCCGCATCATTCGATGAGAAAATTCCATGTATAGTTCCAGTTATTCTTGAAGATGTTGGCGAAGAAACATTCTCTCTTCTTTCATTTCTGACGTTTATTAATGCAAGATGTGTCGATGCAGCTGGGGTAGCCAGTAAAATAGCAGAATCCGTAGAGAGTTTGGGTAAGTATCTATTAAATATACCTGGTAAAATAGTTCCGTAGCAATAATAAGGTTGTATTTTAACAATCTGTATTTGTTATAAATTGATCATCGATTTTTATATTTTATCTTGAATGTTTTTTACATTGTTAAAACAATTTATGACTATCTGAAAATAAAGGTTCTATGATCACTAAAATGATCATTATAAAATGCATCTTCTGAAGTTTTGAAATTCAAATACATGTATACACCACTTTCGATTGAACCGCTGAATCATTAATATCTGATTAACTGGTTGAAGGGGCGTAGGGGCGTAGACTTGGCCTGTTTACAATTGATATGTTATCTTGTTTATAATGCACGTGGGTTTTTATTTGAATTTCAGATTTGAGTAAGAGCATGTTTCCACTAGAATTCACGAACGTTATAGCCAGATGTAAGTTTGAATATTGATTTCTTATATAAATAAATACTACATGTATTCACATATTACTCACATGATACTGTCTATTTAATTGATATATCCATACCAAAGCCCTTTTCGATAGTGTTCGCTTTTATTTTACGACCTGGATCATCGTGTTATAATAATCATAGGCAACTGTTACTTGTATACTTGGACGAGCTTTATAAATAATCAGCAACCTCAGTTTCAAAACTTTTTTCTTCTATGTCATTAATTCATTTTGATATGTTATATTTTTAGTAATGAGAAATATTATTTGATAATGGTAGTTAACAAATGAAAATTATAGTATGAAAAGCTAAACAAGGGATAGCTCCGTCAACTGAACATGACTTTTGACTAAAAAAAGACCAGTAAGTCACCCAGCTGGATACCGGACACAATAATTGTTCAAAAAAGCATTTCAGATCTAACAAATTACACGGATGTTCTGATTCCGTAATTTGTTTCTTGTATTCAAAATATGCATTGTAACATAAATAAAACATATTTTTATCACTTGAATAATGGTAAATCACAATTAGTTTGTGTAACAGGGAATTTCATTGACTAACTAAAATGTCAGTTCAGAAATAATTCGTTCTCGTATCATTAGACAGGCAGTTCATAATTTGTTCTTGATTAAAATTTGTTATTGTTTTCCGATTTTCATCTGTATGTGATACCATTCCAAATTTTTTAAACAAATTTTAAATGTACAATAAAACTTGTCAGCAATATATTTTCTTTCGATTTACAAAATGTCCGGAAGCTGAAAAGAGAAATACAAAAACTGAATTGTACAATATATATACTAGTATATCAAACGATGACAAATTTTATACATTACATGTATACTTACAAGGTTGAACTATTCGTCATCTCCACACTCAGCCTATTTGTCCGTCCCGTGTTTGGTCCGTGTCTACCTGTGCTCTACAAGGTATACCTTAATGGCGGTACTATGGTTCTTTCTGGCTGTATGGTGTCGAAACTACTATGACCCCACTAACATTGGTATTTAAACTTTTTTCTTTTCATATTTTAGTATTTTTTGTCATTTCTATATCTAATATTTAAGTTGAAAATGGGTACAGTGTTGAAATTCCTGTCGAGAAAGACAAACTTCGATTTAACAGACCTGCAAAGCGTAAGTTTCGCGTAAACAGAAAGTTACTTACAGAGCTAACAAATAGTCAAATGAAGGTAAGAAAAACCTATCAAATATTTACATTTTCTCTCCAAACATTAATTACTTTTCTTTTATATTACTATCATTTATCATATTTTTAACAGCTCATAACATGTGTTAAAAGAGGATATCCCTTGAAAGCAATTAATAAAAAAGAGAACAAATATACACCTGGAAATATGTTAAGCACACCCCAAAAATTTAAAATTGGTTGTGATTGAAAGCACTGTCATGCGATGAAGACTTAACTGAACTAAGAAATAGTAATGTGATAATTAGCGATACCAATTTAGTTATCATGAACCAGTAAATTAGTTCATTCTTATCCAAATTATTGAAGCATAAGCAAATGTGTTACTTTTTACCAAAACTGTAGGTGTTTATATAAGTATGGTGTTGGGGCGTTTACAAAACATCTACTGGTGGATATTTTTGGTAAATGTTGACGATTACGTAACATAAAATAGCATAATGTAGCCAAATTTTTATAACATGTATAACCGCCACGGGCCGGATGATACCCTCTAAAATTTGGCTACCTAATATCATTTTAGGTTACGTAATCGTCAACATTTACCAAAATTATCCACCAATAAATGTTTTGTAAACGCGCCAACACCATACGTCTAAACATTTACATTTCTTTGGTACAAAACAACACAGTCATTAGCTTATGTTTCAATAATTTAGTTAAGAATAAACTAAGCTCATAAATTTTATGGTTAATGATTCTCAATTGGTATTTTAAATTTAAATACCCCCGCATTAACATAAATCAGGCAATTATATAGCAAATTTTTCAAATGATAACCCTCCACAGCCGAATTGATACTCTTAAAAAAAATTTGTGCTACTTAATATAATTTCAGGTATAAGTAATCGTCAACATTCCAGAAATACTTTAGTAAACGCCAAAACACATTTTCTTCTACATTTCATTTCAAAAGAAAAAACACAACAGTCAATAGCTTATGTTTTCATTTAATTCATTTGGCTTAAGGAATAAATAATGCTCATAATTCGATGTGTTAACACACGCTTACTCACACACACAAACACACGCACGCACGCACGCGAATATGAGATTTTCAACTTTTTGTTTCCAATGCTGTAGCGGGATCCCACTTTTCAAAGTTTTATTCTTTTATATTTCATTAAAATGTCAGATAAAGATTAAACACCAGAATGACCAATGGTCGTTTAAGATGATATACTTTGACATATGCTTTTTTATTGTTACATAATGTATACAAATATCATGTCCGGAATTGAAACTAATGCATTACACACACGTACATCTAATTATAGGTTTCTGAAGGGCTTTTGCGCGATGTTGTACAATTAGTAAATAGTGATCCTGTGATGAAGACCTACGACTTCTTGAAGAAAAGAAATATAGCTTGGTGGGGAAGTGTTTTACTTATACCATTGTTTTTATTATTGGCCACACTGGTTGCGTTAATTGTACTAGTAGCCACTTCAACTAGAGACCGGCGGCTAGATACCGTTGACTTTCCTTTCGTATATGTGCTGATTATGTTAGTGGGGACTGCTTTTGAATTCAATTCAACAATAGCGGTCATAATGGTTTTGGCTGTTCCAAGATATTACCACCGAGAAAAGGTAAAATAATAACATGTATTTCAGATTGGGTTCAAAGGCATATTGATACAAAAAACATCTTTGGTTACATTCTTTACCTCCAGATTTTATGGCGAACCATAGCTTCCTGATTTTATGATAGAAGTAGAAAAATGTTGTCATTATTATTTCATTCTCTGGCGGATTTCTGTGTTGAAATATCTTCAATTGCTGACTCAATATCGTCTTTGCATTGAGGCATCTGAGGTTCTGACCATGAAAAAATCAAAGTGGTGAGGGGCAAGTGATTTGAAATTTCCAACCTGAACCACTCGGACCTACATTTTTCAAATTAAATATGAGGATCACATTTTATTTACTTAAAATTTAATTCAGTTCAGTGTTGTCTTTATGATTGGTATATCATAATTATTTCATTTTAGAAGACTTATTTATTTGTTGTTTGAATCGAATCTCAAATGCAAAATTCACAAAGTCATTGTTAAAAGAAAAAAAGAGTTTTGCACTGCTTTTCATATATATTAATAAATGCATCTAATAAGTCAAAAGGAATCTTATTATCTTTAAAAAGTGTTATGTAATACACCCTTTTAACAGATAGACATAGACCTCCAGATGAAAATATGCAGCCAGTTTTTAAGAAGATGCATCAGTAATGACGTCATCATTGTTTTCTCGGGACGAAAGAATCGCGAACCAAGCGTATCCTTAAAAATCATATTTTGAAATGTGATCTTAGATTGTTAGATTTAATCAATATTTCTTTTTTAAGAACAAATGATTTTTATAATGAGATGATCTTGCATGACAGAAATGTATTTCGTTTTCATACTCAACGATTTGAAGTTAGAAAATTTGTGCTCTATCATTAACAAGTCATGAACAAATATTTGTAGAAATTCACAATTGTACCTCATTAGATGTAACTCCAAACACTATTTATCTGTTAAACTTTTATTCCAGTTATACAAACGTACAACCATCATGTATCTATGTCCACCAATATAATTACATTTAAATACATGTGAAATATAAGTGTATAAAGATATTAAGTAACGATTAACCATTGATTCAATAGTTGGTCTCCTTGCAGCTGAAATTTTAATGAAATCAAAAACTCCCAAAATACACCCAGCCACACTGTATGCTTTAAAAAAATCCTAGGATAATTTCTGAAGGATTTTTGTATCAGTAAGCAATATTTTTTATCTGGAATGTTAAGAATATGACCCTATTATATCCTTTTGTGTTTATTATTCAAAAGTTTATGTCATAAATTTCTTGAAGCAAGTAAAAATGGATGACAATCTCAATTATAAGTTTAAACAGTATTTATGTTGATGTAACAGACCTGTACGTAACAGTTTTCATATGTCATGTATGCGATGGTGTGTATAAACAAATGATTGTAATGATTTGCTGTATGCTGTGAAAACAACTCTTTACAGATCAAGGCTTATATAAGTTCATCTTTTATGTTTTAATGACTGTTAGACTCTTGGCTCGTTTTGAGTTTTTATGTACATGTACCAAAATACAACGTCGCATTCTAGTTTTGATTACGGCTGATGATGATTTGACTTTTATTGTTTCTGAAAATGACACGGACGCCGTAACTTACTGGAAATGTTAAATATAATGTTCTTATAACAATGATAACTTTATAATTGCTGAAGAGGAGAGGGTAGTTATCATAAAAACATTGAATATGAAATACTATTAAGTGTTATATACAATGTTTTTTTTTGTGTGTGCCGGTTTGAAAAAGCAAAACGGGAAAACAATACAAAGGTACCCTGAAATAGGGAAACCTGTACATATACCGCAATATTATCAATTTTGCTGTGTTTGGTTTCTCTATATTTTATCATTGACAATACTTAACCATGAAAACTAGCTTCAAGTGGTCAGATACAATTTTAGCAAATGTCAGGTAAGTTTTGACTATATATATCTTTTATTCTTATGTCTATATCAAAATTCATTCTTTTCACGATTTTGCTAATTTCAGCAATAAAATTAAAATATGAGCACAAATGTTCACGGGTGCTTGCTTAACTTAATGTATGAAGTTCGATCCTATATAGTTTTGTATAATGTGTACAAATACGAATTAACTATATAAACTATGTCAAATGGAAAAAAAACACACAAAAAAAGCAATCCGTGAAAGCGTGTCATACAAATTAATAATGAACATTCTATTTTGTTCGAGTTATATCAAGGACGAAGTTCTAGCTTGGAGACAAGTTTGTAGTGAGACTAAAGAAAAGTACAGAATTCCGTCCAAACACACATATGCCTATTTAGTGTCTCTATTTAATTCAAAATTAGACGCTGATTAAGCCAGATATAAGCGTCTTACTATTTCTTCATGAATTGAAAGTTCTCGACATTTATCTGAGAGTAAACATTTATATCTGAGAGTAAAGGAAAAATATTTGATTTTTTTATTATCACTTTGCTTGTATTTTTCAGGACTATTTGGAATATTTTATCCAAGAACGCCGCCAACTTTTACTAGCAGATATGAACATCACCCCAAAGGTGGTTTTCTGTCAGTTTTTGCGAGAAGATTATCTTTATTTGTAAACTCCAGTATGACATGTAAAACTTACACTTTTATTTGAAGAGGGCGAATTTCTTATGCCAACGCTAAAATGCAGTTATTTTATGATGTTAAGCATGTTTTAGAAGTCAATAAAAGGGAAAAAAACACGTTTCACCTAATATTTCTATCCGATGTTTATTTAAAAAAGAATGTTGTTAAGCATTCATTAAACTCTTATACTCTAAATATAGTTATTTTTCTATATTTCAGGAATACGCTTTGAATATGATTGAAATTCATACTGCCGAAATATCAAAAGTCATGACCTTAAATTACGACGACCTGCCTGATGCATCACAGAACCGACATACCCTTAGAAAAGGAAAAGAATGTCTCTGTCAAAGAATAGAAAGATGTCTCTCACAAGTCGAAAGAACAAACATCATTTGACATTGCTTGTAAAATGTTTATTTTGGCTAGAGTGTGTTCGAAAAGACAGAACAGGCAAATGTGCTCATAAAGACGTTATAACACTTGTGAAATAAAAACATCGCTTTCATTTAAATATAGTTCATATATAAGAAATTTAAAAAAAACACAAGGAAACGGTCATGGTATATGTAAAAGTTATTTTATTACAATGAGTGATATACAATAACTATTATGGATCAAATCACGCCGATGCAGTCCATTGTTTTCCTGATAGATGTAAGAATATGTATTCACTTCTAAACATTCATTTGTCAGTGTATCAGATACCGTTGTAAAGTAAGTTACCAAAACAGATTTTTTTGGTTTTCACATTACTGTAAGATATTTTATTTAGTATTTAGGTAAAGTTCAGACACAAAGAACAAATTTTCTTAAATATACATGTTTATTTTTTAAATACTTGTACAGCAAAGGATGCAATATCAAACAACAACGCACGCCAAACTGATGCCTGATTCCGTTTAGTTATGCACTTTTACAGTGCATATAAAGACATTTTCAGCTTGCCGTATTGAAAGACAACATGTGCTATGCAAAAAAAATTTATATCAGTTATACAGATCTTTGACAACATTGTGTATGTACATTTATTTGTATATAAAGCATTTGTAAAAGAATGTTGATTCGTTTTAAACAACATGTTAAAGTCTAATCGGCGCTGTAAAGGCCATATGGTAACTTTTTTCCAGCTTTACTAGTGAAGGTAGACCTCAGGTGCCCATCTGTGTGTTAATTTAATTAGATCGGGCTGACGATAAAATAAGAGTGGTTCCTTAAAATCCTTTTTCAGCTTCTTTTTATTAATAGAACGTCACCTTAATCATCCCAGTCCTGTCACTTTTCCCGTGAGAAGTTTTTAGGTTTACTAGACAAGACAAATATGAACGATCACAGAAGAAAAATCGCCTTTTAGCAACACTTCTACTTCGGAGTTAAAAGTTAGTTAATGGGTAAAAGTAACCACGCTTATTTCATCCAGCATTTATCTATAATTATTTCTTTTCTTATTGTATAAATGTTTAAATTATACACAAACAAATATTCATTATACCGAAAACATTTTGAATGTTCGAATATATCTTGTCTTTCCTATTCAGGCTATTCTACAGACAATCTGACTGAACAAGCGTGGTGTATCCCTCTGACTCTATACCCCGTTTGTAACACATACACCTTATTACATTGTGCCTTTTTGGAGAGGACACAACTATATCTATGTTGCATTACATAATATAAATAAGGTAGTAGTTACAAAAAACAAACAACCAAAGCATAATTACATGCTGTCTGCCCAAAAATATTGGCTTTCAAATACTTCCATACAATATGAATACCGGCAGCTTAATTTAGTACAAATTGCATGTTCTGTAGAGTGTTTTTTTCTTTATCAAAATCAAAATAAGGGGAAAAATAAATAAAATACTCTATATATTTCTGCATTATTTATTTTCCAACTACAGCGGGGCTAGAGAAATCTTCATACAGTAGAAAGCCAGAAAATATGCTATGACTGATACCGTGGAAACCCCTGTCAGGGTCTTTGTTTTGGATAGATACGTCATCACCTTTCTGTAGCTGAAGGACAATAGTTTGACTTGTCGTGTCATCCCCAGTCGTAGCATCTCCTTGGCTAACGTACATATTTATTATACCTGCACCATTGACAGCAAACTGTGCATGCGCACTTTGGAAATTGATAGAGATCAGAGTTGTGGAGAAAACGTATGTTCCAGCCACCGGTGCTACGAAAACACCCGCACTGCTGTTGTATGCATTGCCCAAATTAGTTACGATCGTGTCAAAGATAACGGTTAGGTGAGCACTGGCATGTTGAAGATGGGCATTTCTCTTTGCAAAGAATGCTACGTGAGTTTCTACTGACTGTCTCCGTATTCGATTTGTTGAAGCACCTGAAACTAAAGCAAGTGACTACATGTATATCAATAAATAAATAAATAAATAATAAAACTATTTTTATTGTTACATCAACTTCATCGTTACTATGTTACTATATGTTACAATACTTTTGTGTGTCGTGTTGTCGCTAGAGACAGCACGATTAAGCGTCAAACGGATCGTTGTCGTGCGGCGCGTTGTCACGATGTCACATTGTCGCTCAGCTCAAATCGAAGGATTGGCTATTAGTATATGTCAAGAGACAGGGCGACATCGCAACAACGCACCACAAGACAAAGCGCCGTTTCAGCGTTCCTCGCTAGTGCAACAATGCACGGTTTCGCGCATTTCGCTAGCGACAAGACAACAAAACGAAAAGGCAATAACGATATAGGTTGTGTTGTACAAATGACCATAACAAAAATACGCAATGCCTTACAGGAAGGCAGCAACAAGACAATCATCTACAAGTGCCCGACAAAGAAAGGCAGAAGATGGAAATTCAGACAGTTCAGAACTTAGAATTTTAAGAACTGTCCGTCATGAAGTCTTTCATTTGGTCCGCAATATGCAATCAATAGAAGGAAGCGGAGAGTCCAGTAGTAAACGTGTTAAACACATAACATGCGTTATTCCTCAAAATACTTCGGTTATAATCTCTTTATAAAAAATTAAATGGAAATAAAATAACCATTTCGATGGTAGAATTTTTGTGAAATACTTCCGTAATTTATGACAGCATATCACTGTTTGACTGAGTATGACTGTTCACATTATGGCGAAGAAGGTGACATCCCAGTCGGTATAGAGCCGCAGAACGGTACATTTTTTTCACCCTGTGACATTTGGCGCCAACGGGGGACCATGACTTCTTCTTGTTCAGAGTTTAATTCACATCTTTCAGTAACTCAATTGACAAATTTCAATATAGCATGGGAGTATGTCACGCTTCAGAATTGTTCTCTATTTAGGAAAGAATATTTTTAAGCGGCTTTGAAATATTTTGGTAAGAGGATTTCTCAGTGTCCCGAGTTCTAGTCCCAGTCAGGCTGCATATTTTCCTCACACTATAACACTTATTTAATGAAGTTTACAATATGTCACGTATATTTGTTTTCGATTGCGTCATAAACTGACTGAACCTTAATATTGCAAAAATAACTATGATTGTGGGTTATATACTTTTAAAATTACTACTTAGTTTGCGAGTTTATTAAGGTTGTGAATATCGCAATCTCATACATTTTCTTATTTTATATATGACACTAGTTTAGAGAGATATAGATACAGCCAATTACTTTTAAACTTTAATAGGGACAGAACGATGAAGTGATATTTTCTATTGTCTGTTCAGTGACAGCAGCTTCAATAGGTAAGTTAGCTTTTTTATCACACATGGATGAAAAGCATTAAATGCATGCTTAGTGTTTTTTTTACCTTTTCTCAATTACTGGTAAATTAACCGTCTTTAACTGTAAATTCTATATATTCTTACTTGAAATCTTTTCATAGCAGATTGGCACATTTAAACATTGTAACCTTAAATTAAGTGAATTGGTCGATAAAGGAAGGTTTAATAGTTTTTATTTGTATGTGGTTTCAGTTAGTTTGCTATGCCATTAAAACCTCTTGATTAAACGTTTTAAGTTCCATGAGATAATTGTCATTGAATTTGATGATATCATCGTTATAACACTGCAATACTTCTTTTTGTTCCGTTTCAAGAAAGTATTTTCTGTTCTGTATGTATTTTGTTTGGCTGTGATGTATTTTTTGTTGACTGTATTTATTAATATATTTGCTGTAATGTTAAGTCCTTATTGTCTTTTCCGTTGTTGTCTGCCTGAAATGTTATTA